GGTTTTGGAAGCTCTTTTCATTCTTCAAGACCCAACTCCTGGAAGACTTCTAGCCCTACCTCAGTTATTGTTCTGGAGATTTTACAATATAACAAAAGATACTCTTTTTTTAGCACACAAATATTTCATATCCATTATTTTTAAAAACTCATAACTGCAGATAACTAAAAAAAAAAACAACGAGCATCTTTAATACTAGAGAAAATCTCTATAGAGGTATTGTTCTTTCTCAGACTTTAGGATTCTAGTGATATTGACACATTGGTGGGCTCATACTATGGCCCTGTTCTGAGCACCTCCAGGCACTTTATACCCTGTAAGTAGTTATCATTGGCCCCATTTTACAGAGGAGGGAACGAGGCTCAGTGAGGTTATATGACTTGCTCAATATAACAAAGCCAATAGGTAGAGAGATTTGTCCCAAGATTGATCGTCAGAACTGAACCATTAGATTCTAAGATCCATAAAAACTCTCCTTGTTCTGTCGGACCAGAGATTCATTGTCTCTTCAGTAGATTCTGACGTTAAGGGAATAATTTTCTGTTATTTGTCAGGATAGGTAAGTGATGGCTGTGGTCATAAATTAATTCAAGAAGTCTTAGTGTCTTCATTGTTTCTGGTCCACATCACAGGTCCAATAATGGTCAGCCGGATCCTTCCTTTCATCTCCCTGCCCCTTGTGCTCAGAAAGGAATGAGACTATTTGAACACTGGCAAGCCCTGTCTCTCCAGAGCCTGGGTCTGGGGAGGATGTCGTGACCTTTGCTGACACCCACCCCCACCACCACCAAACAAGTTTTCTGCCTAGATCTCTGAACTGCTCTGTTTCCCACTGTTGGGGTTTTTTTGTTTGTTCCCTTTTTCCCCTCGTTGGTTGAGGAATTAACTGGCTTTGGAAAAACTGCACAGAAGCTGAAGTGCCCAAGAAAGGGAGCCACACCCGTCTCTTATTTTTGAAGGCATTCATGACCAACGCACATCTGGGATTGGATTCATACAGTGTTCACTAAGTGCAGCCTGCTTCATTCACTTGTGTGTTCATTTACTCATTCATTCTCTGGTCTAAGAGATCTTTATTGACCACCTCCTCTCTCCCAGCCTGGGATACAGAAATGTGGTCTCTGTGCTCAGAGAGCTTCAGGCAAGTCTGGCAGAGTCTTGCTGTACACAGGACAGAATTAAATGACTCCTAGAGGCACCTTTTTCAGGGTCTGGCAAGGTCAGTGATGGCCTAGGTGCATAATAGGCAGGTCTAAGCTTTCAGAACTTTGTGGATGTATTATTTTCTCCAGGGATATTATTCACTGCCCTTTTCTCCTGCTTTCCTGCCAAGTAAATGTTTTGGGGTCTCTCTCTTTTTTTTTTCTTCCTTCAGCCTAAAGAATCAAAAGTTGAACCCATTAACATACCTCCAACTCCAACCTTTCCCTCCGAGGATTCGGAACTTTCTGGGGAGCCTGTACCTGAGGGGACCCTGGAAACCACCAACCTGAGTGCCATCCTGAACAGCAGCGTTGAGCAAGGCAAGTCCTGGGGGTGCCTTCGCATGCGGCAGATTTCTATTGAGTGGTGACGGTGTGTCCGCCTGGGTGACACGTGGAACGTGGAGCACCTCATTTCACCTTCTGCCTTTGACAAACAAGGTGGGGAAATCAAGTCGCCCGGCTGAGGCTCTGTAGCTTGTAAACGGCAGAGATGACTTAATTTTGTGTAGCTGGACTTTCAGTCCCCAGACTATCCCTCCAGAAGGATCTGAGGTTTAACAAAAAAGCTTGTAATCACTGTTGCTGCTTATTAAGTGCCTACTGTGGGCCAAGTGTCCATATGTCATCTCAAAGCCCAACCACACGTCTCCGAGTTGCTATTATCAGCCAGTATTGTACAGATGGAAAAGCCAGTGCTTGGAAAGGTCAGTGGCATGCCCATAGTCACACAGCTCATGAGTGGTGGGACAGAGCCGGTGCCCAGGCCTCCCTCCAGAATCCCCGCCCCTCCCAGCCTTGGCCACAGACTCCCCGATTCTCAGAGGGTCGGGCCATCTAACCTCCTGTGTGGCACACGTGGGAAAACCACCTGATGGCCAGGGAGGGGCAGGCCCAGGAGGTCAGCAGCAGGCCCTGGGGCAGTCCGGCCTCTTAGCTCCCCATCCAGGACTCCGGTCCCTGCCCAGCGATATGAAGGAGCACTGGCAAAAACACGACTTCTGACGTGACCCCCAGGCTCAAGGCCTGAGATCGGCCTGCGTGTTCCGCCCTTTATCAGAGGGATAGCTGTTTCAGACCAAAGTTAGAGCCAACTCCAGAGCACGAAGATCTAGGTACAAAGTCTAAAAACATCCCAGATGCCCACCGTTGAGGGACTGGTTGAGCAAATGATATTTCATTCATATGTGCAGCCCTGAACTTGGTGATCCAGGGACATGTTCAAGGTGGACTCCACTAAAAAGCTGTAGGTGTGCTATGACCCTCATTTTGAACATGTTTTTTATATTTACATCTATCCATATAAAACAATGTGTGTGTACGTACATGTGTGTGTGCTAGACTAATATACAACAAAATGCTATGAGTAATATCTTCTGGGTGGTAGGATTGTGGGTGGTTTTAATTTTTTTGTTTGTAGTCCAGTAGTTTACATGTCCTTTTACCATCTTACATATCATTGTTCTTTTTACTTCTGCCATCAGTGAATAGATGTTATTTTAATAACTAAACTTGGGAAATCTGTGGGTGAGAGAAGGTATGCAGCACTGAGTAGAAAAAAATTGTCTGATAATTTAATAAAGTCATAACACAGCCAAGGAGCCAGGATGTTTCTGTGGAAAGACTGTGGGGCTGGCCGAGAGCAGACAGTTTGGACGGAAGCCCTCTCAGCCACCTTTTGGCTGCCGGGCCCGGGCAAGTTGCTTAACTTTTCCAAGCTTCAGAGTCTCTGACTGTCTGTCCACAATCCTCCGTGATGAGAGGATGTGGAAGCGGTGCATGGCGTGACTGCAGTGCCGTTCTCCTGGGTGGAACTGGGATTTCTGAGGACAGGAAAGGAGGGGGCAGAGGCTGTGGGGCCCTGGGGTGAGGGACTCTTCTAGACTGAGGGGTAAGTTCAAAGGAGGTGGGAGCCAAATCCAGACAAGGACCCAGATCCAAGCACAACTTGCCTGTTCCCTGTCATCAGCCAGACTCCTTCTCTGGCGAACAAAAGGCCAAACAAAAACAACAAGGCTGGCTGAAATGTTCCCGTTCTTGTTGGGTAGAGTGTTCAGAGGGTGAAGGAAATGGGCCTGAGCCCGGAGAACCCGGTCCCAGCCTAGGGGAAGCCACCCGATAGGTTTATTCACGTTTCCCTGACACCATCTTGCCCCAGGGCACACACTACCCTCACCGCCATCCTCCAAGAGATGGGGACTCTGAGGCCTGGGGTCTGGCTAGCTGCTTGCACAGTACCCCCCAGTGGTAGCAGCTGGAAGGATGATGAGAGTTACAGGATGTGCCTGTGCAATGGCTGCCTTGAATAATGCAGCACCAACCTGCCCCCTCCCCGCCACACACATACACACTGTTCATACTATGGGGCATGCATGAACACAGCAGGTGTGCAAATGTCTGGGCATGGGACAGATTAACCTGGCTTCAAGGGCTTCTTCCAGCCACTCCCTCTCTGTGGGGCCTGTTTCTCCTCTGCATAAGGGGGTTCATAAATAAGGTGTTAACATGTGGGTCAGAGCAGGACACACACGGAGTGCATTGAGAGTGGGGAGACTGAGAATGTGGGGCTCTGTCCTGACTCTGTCCACCAACTTCGAGGTGGTGGAAAAGTCCTTGTAGGTAGTTGAGATAGGCTAGTGGGAAAATTAAATGAGGGAAGGAATGAGACATGCTTAGCCCTGGGTCCAGCCTGTAACACGCATGTATGTATGTTATATAATTTCTTTTTCTTTGCTTTAGGACTCCAAGTGTTTTTTTAATTGCAAAAGAAATGTGTACTTGTGGTTACAGTTTAATCAATGAAGAATTGCATGGCCGAAACCGGTTTTGCTCAGTGGATAGAGCGTCTGTCTGCGGACTGAAAGGTCCCAGGTTCGATTCCAGTCAAGGGCATGTACATTGGTTGTGGGCACATTCCGGTGGAGGATGTGCAGGAGACAGCTGGTCAATGTTTCTCTCATCATAAATGTTTCTAGCTCTCTATCCCTCTCCCTTTCTCTCTGTAAAAAAATCAATAAAATATATTTTAAAAAAAGAATTGCATGAACCAAAAAAATAGTAGTTTCGTCAGGAGGAAACCAATATTAAATATTGAGGTTTAGCCACGCGTGTGTTGTTTATCTATACACACACACACACACACACACATATTCATATATATTTACATATTATATGTGTTATATAGTGACTATATGAATTATATAATGTTGATAAAACATGAATACTCATATGTAATTGCTTTCCCTTTACAAACATAGAATCACACTGACAATGAATGAACATTTATCCATTGCTGACTCTATGCCAGGTGCTGTCCTTGATGCTTTCCTTGTATTAATGTATTTCATCCTTATAGCACATAATAAGATGGGAATTATCCCTAGTTTACAGATGAGGAACCTGAGGCACAGGCTAAATGACTCGCCAAAGCTGGGTTCTAGGCCTGCAGTTGTGGCAGAAACTGTGATAGAAATCACATGTAATACTGCCTTCTGTTTGCTCAGCCAGCCCCTGCTGTGGGCGTATGGGCTGGTTTTTTACCTGGTACCCAAATCTTGGTGCTCCAACGTTGGCTGTAACTTCGGTCTGAAATAAATGGTTACCCCTCTGAAAAGGGGCAGAGAATGCAGGCCGATTACAGGCGCATGTCTCTGGCACATGTAATACTGCCTTGGATTTTTTCTTATTTTCTCTTAATCCTGTATCCTGGGCATCTTTGCAAGTCAGTCAGTGAAGAGGGAGCTCTTCTTTTTCAAGACCACGAAGTGCAGTTATTAATTACAGAAAATTGCTCCCCAGGGTCTGGTGACATCCTGAATGACACTCTGGAGGAAGTCCGTACTATGAACCGGGTCCCCATTACAGACCCTGGCTCGGGGGATGGGGCCTTCCTTCATGTCACTGGAGAGGTGAGTGAATAGTCAATTCCATTTGCTATGTCAGTGGTATTTTAGACTCGATGGTGACTTGTATTGGGCACCTGAGGGGGCCACTCGGGTTTTAGTTGAATATGGTAGAGACTGCCTCCCTCCTGCTGGGACAGGGGCAGCAGGAGTCCCAGGGCTACAGAGGCCTCCAGGGATGCACCAGGGGAAGAGGGAGGGGGACGCAGCTGGTGCTCAAACCTGCCTAGGATGAGTGCTGAGTCCTCACCATGGCACCTGCCTCCCTTTCGCCCAATTGGGAAGATGCACATCCTCTTCCATTCTTTGAACCCTTGCTGGACAGCATCAGATTAGCTACATGTGTGTCCACTCTGTGGTTGGGTAATTGGCTTTTATACCCACAAAACCAATTTGTAAGATGCTGGACACAGTTGGATACCAAAGTTAAACCAATGTATTTTTCTCACAATGGCCCACAGGGCCAGCTCATCCTTTCCATTGTCCTAGGATGAAAAATCAGATATGCTCATACTCTCCAAGTCACTGTCTGATAACAGCCTATCAATATTTCCAAAGCCCAGTTCAGTGTGATATAAAAAATGCAGTCCCTTTGTCTCCCAAATTCCATGGAATACGTATCCAACTCACCAAATGCTTTGTAGTGAGCAGAAGAAAGGAGAGAAACCACTTAAAATTCTCTCCGAAGGAATCCTTACTCTCCCAATAGGAGGTATTTTCCTTTGCTTACATAGCCCGGAGGCAGAGGGAGAGGCTAATTTCACTTCATGGTGTCTCAGCGCATCCCACATAAGTGGCCTGGTTCCTTTTTTTTTTTTTTTTTTAGCATGTGGAAGGCACCTGATGACGGTGGAATTGTACTTACCTTGTACAATTAATTAGTTAGTTGTACTTAATTATAAAGCCCTTTGGGACTTTAGCTGAAGTTCTGTCAGAAAGAGTCTCATTTTACTAGTAAAATCTGTAACTACTTATTCTCTCCTTTTTTTTTTGTATGTATGGTTTTGTGGTGTGTTTTGTTGTTGTTGTTGTTTGTTTTTTACAATAATTCTGCAAGGACTCAATGTGTTATATGAAAAAAAGGTTCTGTTGTCAAATGTTTAGGAAATGCTCCACTAATTTCTTTCTTATAGGCTCTGAGAAGTCCTGCAGCTAGGAAGTCTAACTTTGATAAGTTTTCAGTATCCAAAAGAACTACACTTTTGCAAACAAAACAAAACAATCCCCAATTAAAAACAGCCACCACTTTGGGAAAGTGAGATCAAACATAGTCAGTTTGGTAGCACCCGCAGTCAAAGCTGCTCTACTTCCATTCCCTGCACCTGCCGTGTAACCTTCCGGGAAGGGTGTGCATCCTGAAGGAAGCTAAGTCACAGAGAAAGAGAGGAAGCAGGTGTAAAGACTGAGAGGATAAGGAGGGTGGAATTGCCTGCAGGTCTCGAAGCAGTCATGGGCAAAGACTTTCCTCTTGTTCCTATGGCTTCTGGTTGGCACGTGGGAAGGTCACAGGGAGGCATGTGTCCAGATAGAGGAGCTGGAGCAGGCTGGCTCAGGAGACAGTGATCTCCCAGCCACTGGTGCGTGCATACAGGTGCTGTGCAGTCTCTTCTGTACCTGGGAGGCTGTGCTTCTGGGACTATCACTGGGGTGAGGTCCCGGTAAGAAAGTGCTCAGCCGAAACCGGTTTGGCTCAGTGGTAGAGCGTCAGTCTGCGGACTGAAAGGTCCCAGGTTCAATTCCGGTCAGGGGCATGTACGTTGGTTGTGGGCACATCCCCGGTGGGGGGTGTGCAAGAGGCAGCTGGTCGACGTTTCTCTCTCATCAATGTTTCTAGCTCTCTACCTCTCTCCCTTCCTCTCTGTAAAAAATCAATAAAATATATTTTTTTTTAAAAGAAAGTGCTCAGAGGGAAAGAGGCTACAGAAATGCAAGTTGACCAAGAGGTGCAGACAGTCTGTTCTCTCCAGCCACAGACACATTGATCAGAGCCGTGGGCCCAGTGACACAGTCCTTTGCGATGTCTTTTTTCAGAGTCCACACACTGTAGAAGATTTGGCAACAACAGTAGCTGCCAGAGAAGCCAATGTGACCATCAGCACTGCCTGGGAAGCCGAAGTGACCGTCAGCACTGCAGGGGAAGCTAACGTGACCGTCAGCACTGCAGGGGAAGCCGAGGAGGGCAGGGTGCCCACCGGGGACCCTACCCTCTCCATGCCCACCATGGAACCTGGGGAAGGGGCCACCCCAGTAAGTAGCTTGGAGTCCATACTCCACTTCACCTCTTTCGGTGGGGAGGGGTTAGAGGGGGGAGCCATCTCAGTGGAAGCAGTCACTGTCAAAATGTGAGTGACAGCCTGTGGTACCACGTTTGAGGAGACAGTAATTTGGAGGCTGAGTCATCTGTTGACTCATTCAGCAGATTGTGGATGCTGCGTTGGGCTGGGCACCAGGCACCAGGTAAATAGGGTAGACTGCTTCCTTGGGCCGAAGGTAAGAGGTGCAGTAGGAGAAGCACATGGGGCTCCTTCCTGGGGAGAGGATGCTGAAAGTGGGACCAAGGGGATGCTTAGAGGTGGCCTAGCAGGTATGAGTGAGGCAGATGTTCCAGGAAGTGGATCAGCAGGAGCAAAGGCTGGAGGCATCAACACGAGCATACCAAGACCCGCTGGGTCAGGTGTGAGCAAGGAAAAGCCGGAAATGTGGCTGAAGGGGCCTCTGAGTCTGTGGAAGGCATGAGAATGAGCCCAGGCGTGTTCCGCAGAAATGGAAAGCTGCTGAGGGCATTATAGAAGGAGGTGATGTAGTCAGAGTAGGTTTTAGAAAGGTCACCTGAGTCCCAGTGGAGAAAGGATGGGGGAAGCAAGCCTGGAGGCAGAGTATGGTTCGGTGGCTGGTGTTGGCTCGCTCTGGGTTTGGTTAACAATGTGAGATCCTGACAGGATTCCCACTGAGTAAAGGATGGGAGAGCTGGGCATGAGCTGGGTCTGCCAGAGGGACTATTGGTGACCTTGGGGAGGATAATGAGGGATGGAAGGCAGAGGGCACTGGGCCAGGAGAGTGAGGAGAGCAAGTGGTCAGTGAGGCCAGAGAGCCCCTCCCCCTCGGAAGCTGTGCATCCGGGACTGGGTTTCGTCCCAGCACTACGATTTGGGCGATCAGTGGAAGCTTCACTCTCAGGAGTAGTGGAAGGTAGATGGCAGCTGATGAGTGCCAGCCACTGAGGTTGGCAGGGAGGAGCGGGATGGACACCCAGGCACCATACTGGCCAGGGTGCTCACACCTTGGGTGGTGTGCAGGTCAAGGTTTCCGTGTGGGTGCCCCAGTCAGGGCAGTGGTATCAGGTGAGGTGTGGGATGTGCAAATGCTTTGAAGCGACAGGACTCGCGTGCAGGAGGGGTCTTGCTATCTGCTCCCTCCAGCCGGAGGGCTGTGGATCACGGACCTGGTCCCCGTGCTGTCTTCTCTTCAGAGCCCAGAGACTGAAGAAGGCTCGGCAGAGATATCAGGAGAGGAGGCCGAGATGCCCACCAGCACTGACAGGGACGCACAGGCCAGCACAGTGCTCACTGGGGAACCGGCCCTCTTCATGTCCACGCAGGAGCCTGAGGAAGGGGTCAGTCTGGTAAGGTGCTGGAAAGTTGAGGTCATGGCTGGGAGCAGACGTTGCTCTCTCAAAGGGCAAGTCTTCATTCTGTTCAACAAATCCAGAGGAGCCTGAATGAGTTGGGGGCACCTTCCTGACCAGACACTCCCTCCTAAGGGGGTGTGTAGTGAAGCCTCTGCAGGTCCTTGGGGAACCAGCTGGGAGGGTGAGTCAGGGACATGGGGGTGAGTCACCGCCTCCACCAGCACAGGTCAGGTCCTGCTGGGCCCTGAGTAGGAGAGGTGACAGGGCTCAGCCATGGCCTGTTTCTGAGCATGCATAGAGGCTGTCAGAGGGTCGTGGAGGGTTGGATGCAGGCGGACTCACGGGGTCCAAGAGCACAGCCAGGACTTCTCAGCCCTCTCCTTGGGGGTCATGGGGACTCTGATCCCAGCTCCTAAAGTCAGGACATAAGTTTTCCAGGACACTTGGCAAGCCAGTCCCTAGAATGTCCCTAGAATGAGTATCCTGCAAATTCTTCAAGCTCTGCAGACTTAAACCCAAACTCATTCTGCTCCTCCTGAGTTCCCAGCTCAAATGAATGGGAGCATCATATCCAATCCTAATCCAGACCCTCTTCCCTCTAACATCCCATCAACCACAAGATTTTTTTTTATTTTTTTTTAACCTAAACACATGGTGGACCCACCCTTCAACCCTTCTCCAGTGTCAGATCCCCAGTTCCCACCCAGGCAATGGCTGAGGCTCCAGCCTGGCCAGCTCCATCAGCCTCCCTGATTCCTCCTGGTGGGGGCAGCTGTCCTGCAGACACCGCTACCGACCTGGCCTACAAGGCTAGCAGGGTGTGGCCTGGCCAGCCTCACAGACAAGGTCTTGTACGCCACCCTTCCCAGCTCTCAGCCTTTCAGCCTTGCTGACCTTATAGCTTTTCCACGGCCCCCTTCTTGCCTCATAATCTTCTCATATCATCTCTCTGCCCAGAACCTTTTCCTCCTTTCTCCCCTCCTTTAGTGCTTGCTGTATCCATCAGAGTTCAGCTTAAACACCACTTTGTCTGGGAAATGCCCACCCAGATTCATGAAGTCTCCCCACAGACAGGTTCATACCCGCACTTCTCGGAAGGTCTCATCATCACTCTAACGAACAATGAACTTGGTGACTAGTTCATTTCTGGCTCCCTCCCAGGCTGCAAGAGGCAGGGATTATATACATCTCATTCATCGGTCTGTCTTCATCCCTGCACATGGCGGGTACTTGATGCGTATTTGCTGAGTGAGTTATTAGAGGGAGATGTCAGGCCCTCACTCAGCCACAGCACTAGCCCTTGAAATCACTTCGCACATTTGCTCCCAGCCTTTCACCTCTGGCCTAACCTCAGCCTTGAAACTACAGTGGGGAGGCTACGTCCTCACCAGCTGACAGTCTGCTCACCCCTGGGCAGTTACGATTTTAATGAACCAAAGTATCACTGTCACCTTCTTTTCCTTCTTCTTCTTCTCCTTCATCTCTAGACCCTCATCTCCCCACTTCTCTAAGGTAAAGCCCTGATCACAAGGTGAGACTGCTAGGCACCCAGTACGCGTTCTGTCAAGCCTTGACTCGGTAAAAACTTGAACTTACCCAGCAGGGCTGTGGAGGTGGTGACTGTCCAGTGAGTGAGGATGTGCAGGCTCGGTGCCCTGGAGTGGACCCTGGGAGATGGAAGGGACCATCTGAGAGGTCTTAGATGAGCAAGGGAAGGGGCACTGTGGCCAGGCCAGTTCCCTGATGGCCTGGCAGTGTTCTCCCTGTGGTCATGCACCACCATCCAGAGGTGAGGACCAAGTGGCAGATCCCTCACGCCAGTTTTGTTTCAGGACCCGGTCAGTGAAGGGAGTTTGACAACAACAGCAGAAATGCCCCTTAGCACCTGCGAGGGTGAGGAAGAGGAAGAAGCCAGCAAGGTTCCCACTGGTGGCCCCCCCCCTGGCACACTCACAGCAGCCCCTGAGCAAGCGGTCACGTTTGTAAGTGCCTCCTCCCCCCACCCCCCTTCCCCTCGAATTCTCTGTGGCTCATGGGAGGCAGAGAGGGCAGCATCCTGAGACAGGAGCAGCTGCCTCCTTCCCAGCCACAAATGCCCATCCAGATTGTCAGAGCGCCAATGGGGGAAGGGGACAGTGCGAGAGAGGCACTAAATTCAGCTCCTTCCATGGAGGGAGCATGGCAGAGGGGTCAGGGGAGCAGATATCTGTCTCGACCCTGCTACCTCCTAGCTTGTCCAGGAAGAACCCTCTCAGGGCGAATGGCCAAGGCAGGAAGGGGTGGCTGGGAAGAGGGGGCAGTGGCTGCCCCATCACTGGGCATGGGGGCTTAGTGGAGATGCATCATTCAGAAGGGGAGTGCGTGCTTCTGTGGATGTGTCAGGGAGAAGGACAGGGGTCAGTAAGAAAGGGTTTTTTGTTTTTTGTTGTTGTTTTTTCCCCCCACATATTTTATTGATTTTTTACAGAGAGGAGGAGAAAGGGATAGAAAGCTAGAAACATTGATGAGAGAGAAACATCCATCACCTGCCTCCTACACACCCGCTGCTGGGGATGTGCCCACAACCAAGGTACATGCCCTTGACCGGAATCGAACCTGAGACCGTTCAGTACTCAGGCCGAAGCCTAGCCACTGAGCCAAACCGGTTTCGGCGAGGGTTTTGAAGTTGGGCTAGTCCCACAGAAACGACAGTCACCCAAACTCCGGGGCAGGCAGTGGTGTGCCCGTTGCACCACAGTGATTCCTTGTGTGGGTTTCGCTCCCAGGGTCCTAGTGAAGATGACTTGGCAGCAGCCACCACGGAGGAGCTCCTGTCCGGGGCTGGGCCGGAGGAGCCGGGCAGCGTTCCTCCCGAGGGGCCCCCGCTGCCCATACCCACGGTCACTCCTGCCACAGCGGTCCCTCCGGTCACGTCGTCGGTAAGTGGTGCAGAGGCAGGAAAGTTTCGGAGGAGAGCAGGAAAGCCTGAAATCCTGGGAGGAGCCTGTCCCTGGCTTTCTCAGGTGCGTTTTCCTTCTGGTTTGCAAACTGCCCAGTTTGGGCTCTCGAGGGGCCTACAGCCTGGGGAACACACAAGGAAGCGGAAGTTTGTAGAGGAAAAAGCAAGAGGGATAAATCTAGGGCACCTGGCTTCATGTCCCGTGCGTCGAGAGCTTTCTGACAGGCAGAGCTCACCAAAGATGCAAAGGCCCATCTCCAATGTCAGGAGATCCCCACATTGGAGGTGGGGAGCCTGAAAGATGGGTCCTGGGGCCGGGGCTGCAGAGGGAATGGAAGCATCAAAGATATGTGCTCGGGGAGGGGATCACGCCCCTCCCATCAGGAGTTTCTGGCTGCACCTGTGGGACCTCACACACATCCTTTCTTTCCTTTGGGCCTCACTCTCTGCCTGTGAACGAGGGTGGCTGGGAGGTCCAGTCATTGCACCAATGGTGCTTCATGCGTTCCACCTCCTACCCCCACCTTTTGGAGCAGAGCAGAGAGGAGGCTGGAGTATTTGAAAACAAATCCCAAACATCGTCTCATTTAACTCACCAACCTGTCCAGGTGTATTGCTAATAGGTTGATCTGGACCTTTTGCTTTTTCCTTACCCACAATGCCATTATCCATTTCACAGTGGTTCTTTCCTGTGGTCTGATACCGGAGTTTAAAAAAATCTTCTTACTGACGTTTCTTTGAACCTGGATCCACACAAGGTCTACGTGTGACGCTCGGTTGCTGTGTCTCTTAAGTTTCTTTTCGACTGTGATTGTCTCCTCCCCCTCCCCCCTTCTCCTCTGAGCCATTGAGATGTTGACAAAACTGGGTCAGTTGTCCTTAGGCCCACCATGTCTTCTGCTTTGGGCAGTTGGCACGTGGGGAGGGCGTGGGGAGGCCAGCTGTGCTGGTGGGAGTGCTGCTGGGTTTATTCCTTCTGGGAAGTTGCTTGTCAGCACATATTAGCAACCATGAAACTGCATACTGTTGACCCAGAAACTTCTAAGAACCCATCGTCAAGGAGCATTTGATACGTGCAAGGATTTCAGTGTGTTGTCTGTAGTAGAAAAAAAAAAATTAGACATGGTTTACCTAGCTAACCGTGGTTAGCTGAATTAAAATATATTCAACTAACAGAACATATGCAGCTATTAAAATTATATTTATTCAGAGTACTTTATGATGGGAGAAAATACCACACAATGTTAAGTGGGGAAAAAGCTGGTTATAAACTTGAGCATATTGTGTGGTCCTAACTATTTAAAAATAGACACACGCAAAAACCCTGGAAGGAAATACCCTCCCTAAATGTGAGCAGTTGTTGCTGCAGAGTGGTAGAACCGCGAGGGTTGTTTCCACCATCCCCTTATGACTTTTCCAGTGGGATTTGTGAAAGCTCTCAGAAGAGAGGTATGTATGTGTGGGTGGGGGTGGGAATGTGGGTTGGGTACTGGTGAGGGTGAGAGAGAAAGGAGAAAAGGAGACACAAACACGCAATACTTCATCCTGGCATATTACTAATGGAGAGAGATCACCCTTGAGTGCAGGAGTCTGCAATGCATGGAGATGGATGCCCTGATTCCTGAGCAAATGGTTTAAAGGCACAGTAAGGACAGTCAAGAGAGCATCCACTCTGGAAAGTCTTTAGGATAATTTTAAATCTTTTGTTACCCAAGGCAGTGAGTGAGAGAGGCATCTAAGACTAGTTGTGCAACAAAACTGTAGCAAATTTCCTCTCTGTCTCTCTCTCTCTCTTTCTCTCTCTCTCTCTCTCTCTCTCTCTCTCTCTCTCTCCTCAAGAATAAAGTGGGTATCACAGTACTTACACCTTGAATTGTTGTGAGGATGACATAAGTTAATACATGGGAAACTTTACCTGGCATATAGTATATGCTCAACAAATTAGTTACATCGAGTTACTGAGCAGATGAGGCTCAGAGAGAGTTAAGGGTTTGCTCAAGGTCAGAGCTCCCAGCAGTTGAGTAGAGATGAGTTTTAGTGTCTGGACTTTCTATTTTTGCTTCCTGCGCTGTCCATAACCACCCCTTTTCAGACATGATCCGTAAGTTGAACAGCAAATCCCACAGTGATACCCATGAGGTCATTCCACTTCTCAGGTAGTTTGGCAAATAGAACTTATTATCTGCTGGGTGCCAGTGACATAGCAGCGGCTAGATGTTAGGTAGATACCAGAGGGTGTTTAGAGGATTTTATTTTGTTCTTTGGAGGAACTGAAGGCATTCAACAGGTATGTGCTGAATGCCTTCTTGGTGCCAGAACTCGCTGGGCATCCAGAGGTGTCTCGAGATCAGGCTGACCCAGAGCAGTCCTAGTTTAGAGTGGCTGATGGACCATACACAACTGAAATCGAGACCTCAACACAGGAGAGAGAGAAATTCTGTCTGAAAATGGGGTGGGGGGAGTGGTCACTAAATGGGCCTTGGAGAATGAGTAGGGATTTGAAAAGCAAGAAAGGAGGTTGGGGCGAAGATGTGAAAGCATGTAGTATGTTTGAGGACAGTTGCGTGTTACTGCACAGTTGGGAGGTGGTGAGGAGGAGGGTAGCTGCAGAGTGGGAGAAAGGGCTGGAAGGAAAGGCAGGTGCAGAAGTTAACAGAGCTGCAGAATGTGGGGAAACTTTCGGTGATGAGGCTGTCCTTGGGGAGTGGCAGTGGAAACAAAGTTGTGAGAGTTTTTTTCTCCGCAGATGGGAGCAGAGGCGGAGGGCTCTGGCCTGGGCTGGGACCCAGAAGTCAGCTCAGGCTCTGGTGACCTGGGGCCCAATGAGGAGCTGCTAAGAGTGAGTGTGAGGGGTGACACGGCCTGGTGCCTGGGTGGCCTTCCCCAAGGGAGAAGGGAGAGAGGGAGGAAAGGAGGGAGAGAGGGAGTGAAGGACGGAAGGAGGGAGGGAGGGAGGGAGGGAGGGAGGGAGGGAGGGAGGGAGGGAAGGAGGGAGGGAGGGAGGGAGGGAGGGAGGGAGGGAGGGAGGGAGGGAGGGAGGGAGGGAGGGAAGGAGGGAAGGAGGGAGGGGTAGGGGAGAAAGGGCAGACACCAGACGGAACAGATTGGCCACCATCAATAATTGTTGAGGCTGGCGGTGGGCTCCCGGGAGTTCATGATATTGTATATCTTTGTATACATTTCTCCACGTCGATAGTTTTGTTCAGTGAGTATGAGCCTAGGTTTACATTCAGAACCCCACCTCTCCACCTCCTTCCCCTGGCAGCCTTCTCCAGCAGGTGTGTCCATGGCCGTCACCTCCACAGATTGGCTCTGCCCCCACCCCACCTTTACATTAGAGACCTTCTGGCCTTTCCCCTAGTTTCTCATTTTGGCTTCCAGACTCTTCTTAAAGCCCTCCCTACCCAGAGGCCACCCCCTCTCTCCTCTCCACTCCTCTTCTCCCTCCGGGATTTCCTGCTTCTCTGGCCTCTGGCCCAAGGCTGCACCCCCCACTGGTCTGTCCCTAAGTTGCCCCCCAGGGAGCACCTTCCTTCAACAGCCACAGTGAACACCATTGTCCCTGCCCTCAACCTCAGCGCCCTCTCTTCCTTGGGGCACCTGTGCCGAATCCCCACACGGATGGCTCCACTCAGCTCTGCCCACGCGCCGTGGGTGGTAAGGGTTTAGGATTCGCTGCATGGATCTTCCAGGCTGATGGGGTCGGCCGGCCCAGACAGAGGCTAAAGAGACTAGCACATCGCAGGAGGCTTTTTAACAACAAGAGCTCACACAACAGGCAGTGTGTGACTGACCTCTTGGTTAACCAGAAAGTGAGGATTCCGGTGATTTGGGGTTTTCATTGTGTGCATACACCTGAGGAGAAAGCATGATAAAATGGGCTCAGCAAGACCTGGGTTCAAATCCCAGCTCTTCTATGAAATAGCTCTGTGTGGGACCCCTTCAGCAAGTGATATCCTCTCCCTGAGCCTCAGTTTCCTCACCTGCTAAGTGGGCACATGGAGAAAATGAAGAGAACGTATGTGCTTAGTATACCTGTATCCCCTCCTCTGATGTTTCTTAACAGACTATCTATGTTTCAGGGTCCCCCGGGCCCCCCGGGCCCACCTGGCTTACCCGGGACTCCAGGGAAACCGGGAACGGATGTGTTCATGGGCCCCCCTGGATCTCCTGGAGAGGACGGAGCTGCTGGTGAACCTGGGCCCCGGGTGAGCTGCTGAAGTTCCTTCCACTCCCCGTGGCCACAAGCCTTCCTCAGCCAGGGAGGGGCATGCAGACTGCAAGTCCCCATGCTCTCTAAGCTCCCCATGGGGAGTGAGCAGCCAGTTAATGTTTGTAAACGAAAGTCCTTCGCAAGTCGCTGCTCAGACTCACAAGAAGCAGCAGCTAAGAAAAGCATCATCCTACACATTGTTTTGCTGCTTTAATTAGTCAGTGTAGGAAACGCAGACTCACGTGGGATCCTTGAATTATAGGCCTGGGGTGGGAGCCCCTCAGAGAGCATCTAGTCCCACCCTGCCCCTGATTCCTCCGCAGAAGCCGACACTGGACCCTTGTCCATAGCTGCTCAGCCTCCGCTGGCCAGGCAGGCATCCCGCCATAGACCAGGCACAGGCCCTGGAGTCACCAGCCTCACCTGCTGGGTCCTCCCAACCCTGGCCTCCCTCTGCAGGAAGACTCTGTATTTGATTCTTTTTGAGGATGATGTTGTAGGTTGATTGTCACTGATGTCCTCCAGGGCCCCAGGGGACAGCCTGGACTTGACGGAGCCTCTGGCCGCCCCGGGACAAAAGGGGAGAAGGTAAGAGGAAGGTGGCAGCCACCAGGCCCACATCGCCCCTCTCTGACCTCTAAATCTGACCTTGTATCTTCTGTGAAAGACCCTCTCTCACCCCTTCCTGGTCCTCTCTGCTGCTGTCTCCACCTGGGGCTCTTTATGCCAGTCCTGAACTCAGCATCCGCCCTGCCCACTCCTGCACATCCCCAGCTTCAGTGAAGGGCACTACCAGGTGCCAGTTACACGGACTCAGAAACAGAGTCCGCTCTGACTCCCTTCCTCTCCCTTTTCGGCCATGATCTGTCCGGCGCCAGGACTGGCCAATCTGATGTCCACTCTCTCGACCCTCTGTCCATTCTGGCCTCACTGTCATCTCTTCTTATGAACACTGCAGCATCAGGCTCCTCACTGGTGCCCCAAGCTCCCACCTGCAACCCAGCCCTACCCATCTGCCCAGGCCACTTCCTACAATGGGGTCCCCTCCGTCACTGCCCTCTCTGAGGAGAAAATATCGTTGTCTCCCCACTGCCCCCAGGAAAAAACCGTAACTATGTGCAGAACCCTCCAGGCTCTTCCCGACCTCTACCCTCCACCAGCCCTCAGAGGGCCTCCAGTCAGCCAGCCTTACTGAAATGCTCTTCCCCATAGCCTCCTGGACCTTGCTCGTGGTGTTCTCTGTCTCCGGTGTCTTTCCCTCCCTCGTTCTCCACGGCCCCGTTCAGATATGTCCTCCGGGAAGCTCTCCCAGGTTCCTTCCCAGCAGAAAGCACCCCTCCTTCCTCCACTTCCCATTGGCACAGTATTTATTCTGCCGGGACCCCGCTTAGCCAATGACACTACCGCTGTTAGCTTATCTGTTCGCTCCTACCCTCTCCCTGACAAACACAGAGGCCCAGGATTGTCTGTGAATCCTTAAAACCTAGCACAGGCCTTTGTTCACCTTGGATGAATGGATGCAACTTCTTTCAGGTGCCATTTTCATCTTCCATTCCCAGAGTCTTGCCTGCCTTCACTTTCTTCCTTCTCTGTGAGCTTCTAGTTGCGCTGTGGGTGGGGTTCCTGTTCCCCCAGTGTTCCCAGGCTGGTGGATGAGATCAGCCATGTCCCACCAAGGAGGGCAATAAAGATAAGACCACCTCCTAGTGGCGAGCCTGGAGATATTCTGGGGTTTGGAAGAGGGAGGGTCTCTCCCAGCTGGGAAGGGGGCAAGGGCTTTTGTATGCCCTACCTGACTGCTCCATGCAACCACCCTCACTGAGCTGCATTTCCAGTTTCTGTCAGTTTTCAAGTATGTTTATTTTAATTGAACCAGTAACTGGATTTTCGTGGAAAGCTCATTTCTCAGGAAAAAAAAGAAGAAATAATCGCCAGGCTTTATAGAACTCATTTTCCATGTACCGACTCTTTCATAAGAAATTAAATTTTGCAGGAAACATCACAGACCTACACTTATCTTCCCTGTTCTTACCAGCTTCCTTCCCTCCACCCCCAACCCCCGCCCAAACCCCCACACACTCGTCTGGCACTTAAAAATACCCACGCCCATATCCGCACACATACACCCCAGGCACACACACATCGCGGGCGCGCTCAGCAGCTGCTCAGGGAAGCAGCCGTGCCCAGAGCAGCAGGCTTGCTCAGATGTAATTGTTGAAGACAAATCTCATTTCCCCCTGAAGTTTGCTATGAGTCCTAATTTTGTCACCCTGTGTATGTATATGATGCTTCCTGGTGAAGTAAAAGCAGAAGCAAACTCAAGAAGAACTTGCAAATTTGCATCCAGAGAGCTCAAGGGGAAACTTACACATGATGTTTACCTTAAAACACACACACACACACACACACACACACACACACACACACACACAAAAAGGTAAACCAAGGAGCATGGTTTGGATATAAAATAATCAAATCATGCTAAAGAAAATAATTTCAGGGATATAACAAACAAAATATCCAATGATACATTTTTAAATGTATATATGTAAAATACATTTAAACGTATATATTTAAAATACATTTCGGAGAGGAAGGGAGAGGTTTCTATAGCAATAGTTCTTCCACAACAGAGGCTCCACAGCAGTGACCCACAGGTTGAGAACCGCCAGCAGAGTCGCCTAAGACCATCAAAAAAAACACAAACAGATATTTACATTATGATTCATATCAGTAGCAAAATTACAGTTATGAAGTAGCAACGAAAATAATTTTATGGTTGGGGGTCACCACAACATGAGGAACTGTATTAAAGGGTCGCGGCATTAGAAAGGTTGAGAACCACTGGTCTAGCCACTGAGCAAAACTGGCTAGGGCATTTCTTTCATAATCTGAATCATTCATTGTCTTCTTCAGTCTCCAAAGATGCTAGGACAACCAGGTAGAAAAGAGTGTGTGCTTTGACCTTTTCTTCAGTGCCCAGAATTGCTGAGGAACGTGAAGCTCCGAGAAAGTGGCCTTGAGTCATCTCACTGAGCTGCTGAAATGTCAGTGTCTGTGTTATCTTTTCCACAGTGTGAGAGAGAGGAGTGTCAGTAAACCATCGTTACCTTACCTTTCGCCACGTAATCCCAACGTGGCTCTGAGCGAGTCTCTGGGTCTCATATAATAAAGAGCAGGGAGGGTACTTACTGCTCCGGACCCTGAGCAGCCCGCTGCTCTTGACTAGGGTCCCGTCATGGGTTTAGAGCTTGTAACGACACATTTCGATGAAACATTCTAATACTGGCCTGAGTTCCCATTTTATACCTTATTTCATCATCAGCCATGTTTGGTACAAAATCAGGATTGCAGGCCTCCGTGAAACTAAATAAACCGCAGTCCCTTGTCACGGTAGTGTGTTGAAGTTATTGTTATAACAAACATCATGAGCAAAACCAACAGGCACTAAGCTGTGCTTTCTCAGAAACCACAACAGAAAAAAAAAAAAAAGAATCCATGAATTTATTGTTTTTTTGATGTTCCTGTGTGAGGACATCTAATAACGACCTTAGCAAATCCAGTCAGCATAATGAGCTGATATGACTAATCATCCTATTGCCATATGCAGCACCCCTTCCTGCGTCTGGTTCTGTCCCCAGGTTTCTGTTGTAACTGATCTCGCCATATTTCCTCGTCGCCACCAGACTTGCAGTCGCGCTGGTTGGGATTCCAAGGTAGTGCAGAGCCTAGCACGGTTCTCTCAGAGAGGGATGGAATACAGCTCTACCGCCACCATTTGGGGAGTCTGAGGTCTTTGCTGACCCTTTTCCTTGGGGCTCCCACTTTTCACTCTACCCGCTCATGGAATAGGAAGAGCTCATCTGTCCCCAACCTAAGCTGCTCCTATTCCAAAGCGGTGGCCCCCGAATCTGTGAGCTGGTGGAATGGGCCCAAATACTGTCTCTCCACATGCAGGGCCTCCGTCACCTGAGTCTTTATGTCGTTCTCTCTCCAGGTGTGTCTCTTCTGTTGTTCAGGCTTTCTATCCTGTTCTTTCTTCCAACGGTTTTATATTTTTATTTCCAAGATCCCTACTTGATTCTTTTCCATAACCACTCTTCTTACTTCATAGTATCCTCCTGAGAATATATATCAGATCCTTTAAACTCTGATTGGATTGTGTTCTTAACTCTGTCCCCTCAGGCGCATACATTCCATTGTTGGCATTGTTGCCTTCCCTCAGATGTGTGGTGTTTTTGTTTGTGGGTTTGCTTTCCCTCTTGGTCTGTTTTCTGTGCTTGTTTTTACAGATTGTTGGGTTGTTGGGCAGTAGCTACTGTTGGGACATCCAAGTTTCAGGAAGGGGATGGAAGGAGTAGGATGTGCCATCAGGCAGGCACCTCAGCAGCTGATCTTATGAGTTTGGGGTGCCCCTAGATTCCTCAGGGTTCCCCAGCCCCTGAGCCTCTGCCCTATCTTTTGGTTCCAGGAAATAACTCCTATTGTTCTTGGACTGGCAGTGAAAGTGGGAGGCGAGGGGAGATGGGCAGGGCTCCTTGGCTGTGTCTTGCTCCAGAATTTCAACCATGTCCCAGACAGAGCCACACCCTCCTCCTGGCTTCCAGCACCACTTTGCCCGACACTTCTCTCCCCTGTTTCTCTCTGTGACTGGAGCCTCTGGCCTTGGCTTTCCACCTGTTTTTCCTTTGGCATTCTTCGCTGTTTCAGATTCAGTGTGACTCTCCCTCTGATTTTTAAGCATGACTTTTGGAACTGTCTACTCCGCCATCTCTATGCGATGGGTGTAGAAAGGGAATCTAGCTCAGGGAGATGGGCCTGGGGCGAAGGGCATCATAATCAGGTGTGAGGGCCTTCTGTGGGCCCTGCGATTGCTGGCTCCTTCCCTTGAGGGTGCTTTTAAGGTTTCTTCATGAGTCCCCAGAGAGAACCCCAACTGCAGTCCCCTAATGTAGGACAGTGTCTCCTGGGAGTGGACATGCAGCCTGCTTAGTGCATCACCTCACCCCCTGTTCTGGGGCCATTTCAGCCAGCTTTTGGTCTTTGGATTTTTTTTTTTCCCAAAGAGAGTCAGTGGTCCTACAAATCTCCAAAAGTCTAGTGAATACGCAGCAAGTTCTTGAAGCCCCTTCCTTTGGCTTGGAGCAGGGGAAGTGCCCCTTCACTTCCATCTGGGAGGGGTGGGGAAAGGGGCCGCCCAGTGCACTGACGGCTCCCCATGGGAATTCTTCCTCTGGGATCTCCCATGGTTCAACTTCAACTCCTCCTTACTCTTGAGGTAGGTGATGAGCTAATTGTGAAAAATGGGTCGCACAAGCCTTCAGCATGGCTTGCCTGCAACTGACAACTCCCATAATGCACCCAGCTTTGAGACATTGGCCCAAACCTAGAGAGGAAGAGTCTTATTTTAATAGCCTGTGCCTTAAGCGTCCGTAGTTCTAAATTCTCTTCTGAACACACCTCATGAGAGAGAGATATCAATGGACCTATTGACTCTGTTTTGTCTGTTTGTTTTCCAGGGAGCAAGAGGGCCTAATGGCTCAGTCGGTGAAAAGGTAAAAAGGAAAAGAAAAGTTTTCCCTCCTTCCTTCCCTTTCTCTGGGCTTACGGTGACCAGACTGTGGGGCTGGAGCACTGAAGGCATCAGTGCGTGGGGCAGAAACATCTCAGAGGGGCTGCAGGGGAAGACAGGACAGCTGGCGCTGGAGGGGAGCGAGTCACCTGCGGTGTTTCTCCTTCCTCGCCCTTGCACACACGTGTGCTCAGCCTCTCGGGCACAATGTCAATTAGCCAGACAGCTGTTTCTGTACCATTAAGCAGTAACCGTCAGGTTCATCAGCTTAATTAAGCTTGAAGAATGGTTTTCTGACTCGGGGTCTGTGTGGTTCCTTCCGTGTATAACCCAGGGCTGGGGAGTCAGCCTGACCTCTTCCCTACAGGGTGACCCCGGCAACAGAGGCTCACCAGGACCCCCAGGGAAAAATGGACAAGTTGGCATCATGGGACCCCCAGGGCCTCCTGGACCCCCAGGGCCCCCAGGCCCCGAGTGTACAATGGAACCTGAATTTGAGGTACGTTCACCCCCTCTGTGGTTGAAGAACAATATGCCCTAAGGATTACTGGGGAGACCAGTAGATTGAACCTCGGTTTGAGGGCAGAGGCTGTGCTGATTCCCACCAAGCTCCAGTCCCAAACCACACTGGGCACTAGTAGGTGCTCAGGAATTGGGCCTGATATTCTCATTCTTCTTCCTTCCTTAGTATATCGAAGGCTCTGGAAACATCAGGCCACGGCAGGAACCCAGAATCTCAGGACCAAATGTAGGTTGAAATACTTTTTAAAATATATTTTTATTGATTTCAGAGAGGAAGGGAGAGGGAGAGAGAGAGGTAGAAACATCAATGATGAGAGAGAATCATTGATTGGTTGCCTCCAGCATGCCCCCTACTGGGGATCAAGCCCATAGCCCAGGTATGTGCAGTGAGCAGGAATCAAACTGTGACCTCCTGGTTCATAGGTCAACGCTCAACCATTGAGCCACACTGGCTGGGCAAGGTGGGCTTTTGAAAACTTCATTTGGAAGCCTGTCGTGCTGGAGTGAGGGGACTGGCTCTGCTACTTTCGATAACTCACCCTCTCTGTGCCTCCAGCTCCCAGCTGTGCAATGGGAGCCTAGGTGCTCTTGACCAAGTGTTTCTTTGAGGAACAGGACAGAAGTTTTGCACAAAACATCCTGTGGGGGGTTGGTTTCTCTCTCTCTCTCTCTCTCTCTCTCTCTCTCTCTCTCTCTCATCTTTCCCACCCTCTCTGCAGTCCCTCGCCATTCAGCATCTCTGCTTTATTGCCTCCTTCTTGCTGCCCAATTCAATACTCATACTTTGACCCATTTAAAAGCCAGTGCTTGAGGGTGCCCCTCCCTGATGCACCTAGTCCCAGGGAGGCCGCAGTGTTGTCTGTCTGCTGTGATACCTACTGTTAAGAGGGCCAACCTTAGGAACCTCATTATCTTTATCACATGGGACCTAGAGCTGAGCACTCAGCCCAGGAGAAGTCCACCTTCCCCATCCTCCAGATGCCGGCTCTGAGACTCAGGGTCAAGAGCTGCACACCCCACCCCATTCCCGTGCTGGGAGAGGACTGTTCTCCTCGCCCTCTGAGGGGTATTCCTTGTGACTTTGGGATGGGGAATTTTCCCTTCATCTTTTGCTCCCCTTGCCTGAGACAAAATCCATGTTAGTGAATATGGAGAGATGGCAAGATCCAAGGATAGATAGAGAGTGAGCAAAGTAAATAGAAAAACAACAACAACAACAACAACAACACACAAAGATCTTTGTTTCTTTATTTTGCCAGGGTCTCAAAGGAGAAAAAGGAGACCCGGGAATCAAGGTGAGGTCACAGGTCTGAGGTGGGGTGTGAGGACTGTCCCGCCTGGTCTGGGAGCGTTATCCATGCACCGTGAATCGTTTCTCCGCTCTCGCCTTTGTATCCAGGGTGAAAGAGGGATGGATGGAGCCAGCATTGTGGGACCTCCTGGGCCCAGGGGACCACCAGGGCGCGTCGAGGTCTTGCCTAGTGTGAGTATCATCCAGGTCAGAACATGGCTGTTTTCTGCCTTTGCTAAGGGAAAGAAGATTGTCCACAACTTCAGCGTTGCTGGTTATACAAGGGGCACCTGGCCAGCATCTGGCACCGGAGTTTCCCCCTGCCAGCATGCCCCTCCTCTCTGTTTCCACCCTGGAACCACTATTCTCTCCCCTGGTGCTTCCAGAACACTGTCTGCTGGTTGGCAGCATTTGCAGTCATGAGAATGGCTTTAACAGAGAAGCAAAGGAACATAAGAGGAGACACAAAGGAGGAAAGACGGTTTGGGATATGATAAATCAAGGAAGACTCTCTGGAGGAAGTGTCTTTGTGCAGGGGTTTAAGAGCTAAGGATGATTTTACTAGATAAGCATAGAGGGCATGACTTCCAGAATTCAGGTGGCGGGACAATATGAGGCAAAACACAGAATAGGACTGTGTGTGTGTGTGTGTGTGTGTGTGTGTGTGTGTGTGAATCCACGGCATGAGAGTGGGTAGAGAGTGACTGGACTGTGGGCTTGGATCAGATCACGGTCCGTTTACTATTAGAATATCACATTTGTTAAAAATCGTGGCCCTTCTGAGAGAAATTACGTTATATGGTAATCGACAGAAAGTCAAAACATCCCAAATAATTAGAAAAAAATGACTAGAGTAAAAAAGTATTATATTTATATGATTTAAAAGATCAAGTGTGGGTAAGGGTGTGATGAAATAGATAATTCCACCTGCTTTTGTGGAAATATAAATTATATGACCCCTTTAGATAGCTCTTTGGCGATCTGTTAAAACTAAAAATGCCTATATCCCCAAATTCCACATGGAAAAAATTCCATGCTATAAGGTTGAGTGGGGGGAAAAAAAGCAAGGTGAAGAGGAATACTTACAGCCTGATGGCATTGTATAAAATAACTATGTGGCAATTCAGCAGGGAGAATATAGTCAATAACATTGTAATAACTATGTATGGTGCCAGGCGGATGCTAGACTTATTGGGGTGATCACTTTATAAGTTATATAAATATCTAATCACTATGTTGTACACCTAAAATTATATAATAGTGTATGTCGACTGTAACTGAAAAATTAAAAATAAAATAACTACATGGATACACATATATGCACACACGTACGCATATACACACAAACAACACTACAAGCTTTCTGTAAATTTTTAAAAGAGATAAGGCATTCGTGTGTTGTGCAATTTTAAGATTGACTGAAAGAGGAAAGGGATAAGGCAGCTCCTGGCTGTTTCATAAGCAGTGGGAGGGACGCGTGTACCGGCAGTGAGATTAGGGTGTCATCAGCCTGCCCGCATTCTGCCATGCTGGCTGAGTTTAATTAAAGCCTCGCTGCCAGGAACATGGTGGAACATGTGCCACCCTCTGTCTCATTGTCTGGTTTTTCTCCTTCCAGTCTCTGTTCAACATGACCCATGGATCCATGAACCTCTCCGACATTCCCGAGCTCGCTGGGCCTCCGGTATGTATCCGCAGCTGCCTAGAGTGAGGTTCCTACCCAGATAACCCTGTTGAAACTAGGTCGGGTTGATTTGCAGCCCTTTTAGCAGCTGAAGCATAGAGCTAGACCGATATCAAAGTAGAGTGAAAGAAGAAGTTTGCATTTCTGAGAAGCTGCCATCGCATTAGGTTGATCACGCAGGGAGCGTTGTCCAGTGCAGAGGAAGCTTCCAGTCCCGGGCATCACAAATGTGTGCGATGGAAATCAGAGAATCACAGATAATAACCCGATTGACGTCTGTGCAGCGCTTTGGGCCTGCTTTTATTTATGTGATCTCATTTCATGGAACAGGAAGAGATTACAGAAACCTATCTGTGCTAATGGGCAAACGGGCACAAGAGGAGGGAATGTGACTCGTGTTAGTCTTCCCAGGTCCGTTTGAGACACCGGGGACACACACAGAAGCTACATTAGTTTTCTGCAAGTCCACGGGCTCGGTCCATGGTACAATAGGACTTACAAGGAAGGAAGCCTCCTCCACAGCCTGTGCGATGAATCCCATTGCATCTTCCACATCTGCTCATGGCAGCTGGGGACAGAGGGGAGAGCCCTAGCCGTAGAAGCCTTAGGGTTCCAGCCCCATCTCTGCTACACGCCACTCTGAGCCTCTGATAACACCTCACTAGTTTGGGGGCAGCTCATAAGAGGCTGCTTTGCAGACTGTGGCGCTCTGTGTAGCTGACACGGAGGTTGAGGCTTATACTTCCACAGCTGCGCAGTCCAGATGTCTGCTGGGCCACCCACTCCAGCAGTCCCCAATGAGGGTGGCCTGAACCCCACCATCCAGTGCCCTCTGCAAACATCTGGGAGGTTCCTCTAGAGCTGGTATCTCCTGCTGCTGAGTGACCTGTTAGCAGGTCATTATGCTGTCTCTTTTGGGCTATAGCCAATGGGGCCTCCTTCCCCTGATTTTTACTAAAATCATCCAGAGCACCCCAATAATCAAACCCTAAAGCAAAGGAGCTAACAAGCAAAAGTCAATTCACAGAGGTCTTGGTTTTCCCCAGACTATTGGAGGTTTAGGTGTTAGTGAGTTGATACTAAAGCAAAACACAGACTAAAATTGGAGATTCCGTCTCTCCATTCTAAGATGGGCCTTGTCTGCCTGCATTGCCCTGCTCCCACCCCTAGAACCTTCCTTCCTCCCCAAACCCTTCTCCTTTTCAGCAAGTCCAGGCCCACAGGGCCCCTTCATCCCTATTGGAGGATCAGGATTTTACTGCTCAGGGCAATTCCCTCCCTGGGAAGACTCAAGTCCAACCAGCACCCTCATACTTTTCCACCTCACTGTGTATACAGTATATTGATAAACTTGTCATCTGAATATCTGTGTGTGTATACATAAACTAGTACATATACATATACATATACATATACATATACATATACATATACATATACATATACATATTCATTCATATTCATATACATATACTAGAGGCTCAGAGGAGGGGTCCCTCAGCCCAGCTTGCACTCTCTCACAGTCTGGGAGCCCTAAGGGGATGTCCAACTGACAGTTCTGTGGGAGACAATCGGGCTGGCTGATCAGGGGACAGCTCAGGCTGGGAGCGGCTACCCAATGGGCACGCCCCCCCACATCGCTGCCACACCCCTCTCCCCCATCACTATCCCCTCCCTTTGCACACTGGCATGCACCTTGGCTGGCCTGACGCCACCTGCTCACCAGCCCTGCCTCCCATCCGCTGGTCATTTGGTTGTTCAATCGACTTGCATATTACGCTTTTATAATATAGTATGTTCTGCCTTTAATAGGTATATGGGTATCTGCGCTGGCAGAAAGAAGAGTTCTGGCCCCATGTGGAATGAACCACAAACTCACTGCATCCCAGGGCCTTTCAAATGACTGGTCCTTTAAAATTCTCACTCCTACCTGGGGAAAAGACCTGTGTCTCACTCACATGCCCCACTTCCACCCTCACACAGCCCAGAACAGCCTTTGGCCCCATTCCTCAGTGTAGGAACCTGCATTCTGAGGCTGTTTATCACAGTCCAGTGAAGCATTCATCACCCCAGAGCTTTCAGATACTGAGCGATTTCACGGAGAAAGAGGCAGCCAGCTACAGTGCAGAGAGTTCTGGCTCTGGGCAGCAGGAGCTCTGGGCACCTGAGCACAGTTCCTGGCTCTGCCACTGGCCAGCTGTGTGACTGTCCAGTTCCATTCTCTCTTGGGCCTCAGCATCCTCTTGGGCAAAAATGGATCATGAGCCCCACTGTGTGGGAACATGCTTCAGTCTTTGGGAGGTGCTGAGAGGGGTGAGCTGTGGAGATGCAGAACTCCTGCTGGCTCTGGAATGCTGCCCCTCAACCACCTGCTTTGTCTTTGTTGTATCACAGGGCCCGGATGGCATGCCTGGGCTGCCAGGGTTTCCAGTAAGTACCACAGTAACTGTCTTCCCTCTGTGCCTCCTTGCTGTGCTCATTCTGTTCCTTCCACCTGGAATGCTCTTCTCCATCTGCATGACCAAGCTCTAATGTCATCTTGTTCATGTAACCTCTCCTGGTGGCCCCCACCTGGAGGGATCTTTCCCTCCGGTCAGTGCCATGGGGCTTTGTTTTCACCTTTGCTGTGGTCCTTTCCTGCCTCGAGTTACAGTTATTTGTATCCTTATTTTTCTTCCTCGACTGCATTGTAACCATCTTATGGAGGGTTGGGTCACTCATCTCTCTACCCAATTGCCAGCCAATGGTTGGCTTCCTGTGCATGTTGGCTTCCTATGCAAGCCAAGCATTTCAAGTCGATACAATAGAGAAAGTTCCTACAGAGAGAGGATGGTGGCAATGGGGGCTGGGAGATGGGAAGCATAGACTAGACATCCAATAATTAAATCCATGTGCCCCACACTCTCGGGCTTCCACCACGGAAGGTGAAAGTGCATTTCTGTGTAGAAAGTGTTCTGCAGGGTATCTCACCCTGTAACGCGGAAGACAAGACAGGGACTTGTGAAAAGCCAAATAGCAATAATGTTGAAAGGCCTTTGGGGGCAAAAGTCATAGGAGTCATAGTCACAGATAGTAAGTATCGGAGGAATTGGGAAGAAGTCACTTTTGGGTGTACAGAATTTGGCTCTACAAAGGGGTAGATGAGCATTCATGCAGGAGGAATGGCATGGGCAGAAGTGCAAAGGCAGCAGGGAGTGTGAAGAGGGTGAGGAAAAGTCTCACTTCCGGTGGTATGGGGCGATGGGGGCAGGGGAGGGAGAATGAAAGACCAGATTCTGGCTGGGATGAGCTTGGGTATCAAGCTGCGATTTCATCCCACAGGTAATAGGGAGCCAGAGCAGGGAGAGGAGTCATGGAAGCTGAATGGTGGGGTGAGGTGGGCTGCAGGATGGCCTGGAGGACCCAAGCAGAGGCAGAGGCAGCAGGAACGGGCTGTTTCCATAGTGCCCCGTGGAGAAACCCAAAGCTCAAAGAGGCATAGGGCTGCCAGGCCTCCTAATGCTCAGTGCTGTCTTCTTTCCACCAGACCACACTTTCTAGACCAGGAAAATATCATGATTTATATCTACCTGGAGAATTCTTCTACTTTTTGGAAAAAAATACTTCCGTTTGGATAAAGCTCTTTAATCTTAACAAACAACAAATGATTCCTTCTAGGGCCCTAGAGGACCAAAAGGAGACACCGGTGTGCCTGGATTTCCAGGACTCAAAGGAGAACAGGTACGAGGGGCCCAGATGTCTGGGTGGGGTCATGCTCCAGAATTCGCTAAACATTTCTATTGGCTTAAAGTAGCGGTTCACTTTTTTTTTTAATTTGAAATATAATTCACATGCCATAAAATCCACCCCTTTACATTGTAAACTTCATGTTTTTAGTATAGTCACAAGGTTGTGCAACCATCACCACTGCCTGATTTCAGAACATTTTCCTCACGCCCAAAGGAAGCTCCTCTCTGTTAGCAATCACTCTTCCAGCTGTTAACTTTCATAATCTCAAGGTTCCTCCAGAGTGAAGGTGGGTTGTGGGTGGAGAAATTGATTTTCATCCGAGTTTGGGAAAAGACTCAACAAACACTCCCTTGAATGTGTCATCACATGTGCTGTGCTTTGTCTTAACTGCCTGGTGGGCACTCCCATGAGAGTGTGCGTTCCCTCAGGGCAGACGTCAGCCAGTTCTTTTTCTGTAGTTCCAGTTCTTAGCACACAGCCTGGTACACCAATGACACTGAAAGACTTGTTGGATGAAAGCATGTGTAATTAATGGCAGTCTTGGTCCGGAATCTTTGGAATAAATATTGATACGCAGAACATGTCCTGAGAATTTCCAAAGTACTGCACTGGCCTTTGTACCCTGCACATGTGCCTCTGAGAATTAGCTTCCCAGTTGTGTTTATAGATAAGGGTGGAAATGATGTCCATAAATAGATTGCAAAGACCCTGGGGTGGATGCATTTATTCACCCATCCATTTATGAGCTCGTCCGTCTTCTATCCATTCCAGCCAGATTCCTGTATGGAGCACTAGGGATATAGAAATAAGAGGAATAGACATACAAAGAGCCGATAGAAAGTGTGGTCATTGCTGTCACGGAAGTCCGTGCAAAGCCAGTGGGAGCAACTCCTGAGCCTTCCCTGGGAGTCGAGGCGGTGGGGTGTCCCTAAGAGGAGGGATGGCTAGGGAGTGTTAGGCTTCTCCCTCTCTTCCTTCCCACCACCATTCCACACCAGCCCCAACGGGGAGCCTCCAGTGTCTTTGGACCATAATTCCAAGAGGTGGAGCGTTCAGTGTGCCGGGGAAAGCGGTCTAAGCTTGGTGCCACATGGGGTGATGTCTTGGGATATGTTGCTGCCAGGGGCTATGGAGCTGGGATGGGTCCAAGGCAGCCTGGCTTGGGAATAGCAGCTCTTGCTTTAAACACTCTGTCTTCTATGGGATACGGTCAGATGGATCCTGAGGAACCCTTCCCTAACCCCTGCCACCTTGGACACTCAGGCAGCTCTGCTCCCGTCCTAACAGAAAACGCGCTTTCTCCTGCTCTGCCTCTAATGCTTTTGTACTTGCTTCTTCTTGCTGCTGGCGTGCTCAGGACTGCCTTTCCTCACCTGCGGAGCGGTAAGACCCTAATATCAGATGTGGGCTTGGGAGTCGGAGAGAAGAGGCTGCTCTGCTTGCTTTGGCTGCTTCCGGCCCGTTGGAGGGAGAGTTGGATGTGGTCACCCCAGCTCCCCAGGGGCCAGCATGGGAATCTGGGGCCAAAGCCTTGGGGTGATAAAGAAGGTTTCTCTGCCTGGCCTTTACTTGGGACACATATCTTTTTGGAAGCCTTCTGGTTTAGTAAATGAGGACTGGACACTGCGTTCCTGTCACCTCCCCTGTTTCCTAACAACGGAGAAACTTGGCCTGGTCCAGTTGCACAGGAGCCTGAGTTCCACATGGAAACACAGGGCTCTTTGTTGAGAGAGGCCTCTAGTGTCCATACCTTCATCCCCTTCCCAATTTCAGAACTTTTAACAGGAATAAGGATTCTTGGTGGGAACAGATCTCTAGCCAAGTTGTTAGGAAAGCAAGCCACCAAATACATTAGGAGCCAGAGGTTCCCGGGGATGCTGTGCAGCAAGATGTGGGGAGGACCTTGTTGGGCTGGTTGCTGGAGAGTGAAGCTGTCGATCTGTGAGCTCTGGAAGGCTAGCAACGCCCCAGCCTGTGAGAGTGCATGGAGGGGAGGGAATGGAGCAGAGAACGGTCAGTTGCTTAGGAGGCTATTACAGCCTTTTGTGGGGGTCGTGTCTGAGCCAAGTAGTGGGGTTGGAGGACTGGGATGAAGGCAGCAGAAATCATGGCGGTGGGATTGAGGGGCCTTGGGGAGCCTCTGGATAAGGCAGCGAGGAGGAGTCCAACTTCATTGAAATTCTCTGAATTGCAGGGCGAGAAGGGAGAGGCAGGTGCCATCCTGACGGGAGACGTTCCTCTGGAAAGGCTGAGAGGGGAAAAGGTAATTATGTCACCAGACTCTGAAGGCACCCATCCTCTTTGGGATCCCACCTCTGTTTCTGCCACAAACTACGTTCCTCTGAGTGACTGGTCTGTGTCTCCCTATTTCAGGGTGAACCTGGAGCACACGGAGCCCCAGGACCAATGGTAAGCCAGAGTGTCTCTCCACTGGGTCTGGACTGGGGTTTAAGGCATTTCTCATTCTTTAGTTTAATTAGACTGAGTTGTCCCAATTGTGAAAATAAAAAGGATGTGACAAAATATGTGTGTTAGGGTAGGCTGACTGCAATTAAATAAAGATCTCAGTTGCTTAACACAACAGCTGCATAAACAACCACTGTGGTGGTTCCTAGTTGGGCGTGTTCCCTCCAAGAAGTGACTCAGGGACCCAGGATGCTTGTGATCTGGGACTCTGCCATCTTGTGGATTCAGAGCCACATTGACATATTCCAGCTGGTAGGCCAAGGCTGAGGAGGTGGAAAGAGATCATGGGAGATGAGGAACATCACTTCTAGCACATTCTACTGGCCAGAACCCAGTTGTCTGGGTGGGTGGGGCCTCAGAAAGGTGGCTTAGCTGTGTGTCCAAGAAGGAGAGGAGAACAGGATGGTGGTGAGCACTCACAGTTACGTCACAGGTCTTGCCAGCTAAAGATTGCCACTGCCCAGGGAACCCCTCAAAGGAAGCCAGAAAGTCACTGAGGGCTTTGTGGGTTCTGGATATGGATCTGCTGCTCATTTGCTGTGAGGCCTTGAGCAAGTCCTCTTCTCTGTCTGGGCTTCCCTTTTCCCATCAGTAAGGGGGAGTACTGAGTTAGTACTAGATGACAGGGTAGCACCTTTCTTTACTTACTACTCCAGGCTTAAGCCAGTCACTCTCCTGGGAGGCAGGGCAGATTGGCTACAGGAGTGGGAAGGTGTGGCCTGTAGGTAGAGCTTGTTCTGGGAAGGGGTGGTGCGTTGCATGCACTTCGTATATCAGAAGGCATGAAGGTTCCTGCAGGAGATTAGAACAGGGCGGTGGCTCTGGAAGCATGTGGACATAGAAAGCCAGCCCTGGAATAAATGGGGTGCAGGAGAAGTGGGGTGCCAGGCCAAGGTTCTGATCCTTAGGGACAGGTAGGAACAAAGCAGAAATGAGTTACTGGAATGGGTTACCAGGTCGGGCCGTGATGAGGGGAGAGGCAGAGCTGCATTATTCCAATGGGGACCGTGGAGAGAGAGCCCTGAGACGTAAGACCTAGGCAAAGGTCCACGTTTTGAGCTGGCCAACGTCTGGCTACCTGGGTTCCCTCATTAGCCTGACTGTCTGAGAGGGTTGGATGCAGAGTCTGGGGTGGGGTAGAGCTTACAGGAAAGTGCAGGGCAGGGATGGGTTGAGCATGTGCTTCCAGCTGAGCACAGAGAGGCTGGGCGACAAGGAGCCAGGCAGGTGGGTACCTCATACTTGCTCCTTGCCCTCCTTCCTCCAGTTGGTGGTTCACCGTCACCACTGCCCACAATGGCAGGTGGGGTGCCCCCCCAAAAAAAAACCTTACCATCTCCCTGGCCCTTGAGTTTCTGTTCTTTTCTGATCTGGTTGGTATTGGTTTTGTCTCTAGGGGCCCAAAGGACCGCCAGGACACAAAGGAGAATTTGGCCTCCCCGGACGACCTGTAGGTGTCGGTGTCCATTGGACGGGATGTGAGAGAGGACACGTGGGCCAGGATGGCTGGTGGGCAGTGGTTTTACTAAGGCATCTTCTGTGGGTTTTAGGGTCGCCCAGGACTGAATGGCTTCAAGGGTGCCAAAGGAGACCGCGGGGTCATGATGCTGGTGAGTGCCACAGCCCTCGTCCAGCCCCACACCACCCTGGGGCCAGAGCCCCACAGCCAGTGTCCAGGGGAGAGAGTGCCAGGCCCAAGGAGCAAGACCTGAGGGCATAACATTCAGGAATGTTTTTCTTCTTTCTCCCCTGCCACTTCCAAATGTCCTCCAGCCCAGCTCTGGCCTCCAGCTCACGCTCAGGGTTCCTCCCACCCAAGTCCCTTCGTGACATGGAGCATAAGCTTTCTGGTCCAAACCCCAGAGGGAGGTGGGAGACCACCAAGTGCACATGCTCAGGAAACCTGGTTTCAAATCCCAGGTCTTCTGATTTGGGTGATACCTGGTCTCAGGGCTTTGCACATCCCCAGGGGCTCCGTAAATGCTAGGGAGTGAATAACAAAGCGAGATCAGCTACTTAGGCGGGGCCTCACAGAATGGCAGACACTGGAGACATCAGCAGGGAACAAGGGTCTAGAATAAGGAAGCCAAAGTTTGTTGAGCACCTACTGTGTACCAGACACTGTACCAGGTACTCTGAAGCATGTTATCTCAGTCTTGGTAATAACTGTCCTAAGAGACTCTAGGTGGGGTCCTTGTTTTGCACAAGAGGAAACAGGGGCCTGTGGAAGTTAAGAAACTCACTGAAGGTCACCAACCAAAGTCTGTCGCTGCTTCCGTTTGTACCACACTGCTTCTGCTCTGTACGTCCAGAAACCCAGACAAACAATGGTACTGAAGCATTGGGGAAGTAACTCCTAGCCATCAAGCCTGCCGGGGCTACTAGGGAAAGCAGACACTGATGCCTGCCCTTAGGGTGACCAGTGCTAGACGCCTCATGCCTGGGTCGGAGCCTCGCCCCTCCTGCTGAGGCATCTTGCTTGGGACCCAGGCTTAGAGGAGCAAACACTGCATGGTATTCAAGCCAGGATGACCTGGCTTTGAAAATAACTATGCTACCCAGCAAGAGGTTGGCATTTATTTTTGCATTTATAAGGCACTCTCTGAGGTGCCATAGCACGTGAAGGACCACCCTCTCCCCCAACTATCACTCCCACCTCACTTGTTGCTCCACTCTAGGGATGTGCTGATAGAGAGGTGGTGGACTCAGTATCAGCTGAGCATGGCCCTTGGAGTCAGAATCTCAGTTCTGCCCTAAGTTGCTGTGTGGCCTTGAGCAGGTCACTTCTCCTCCCTGGACCTCACCATCCATCTGTAAACCAGAGATGATATTTGTTGCTCTGCTATCTTCCCCATGGGTTGTTGTGAAGATGCAATGAGGTCAGCTATGTAGACGTGCTCTGTAGATGGGGCTGGCTTTCCTCATTGTGTCCCCCAAACCTGGGGAAAGTACCCTGCAGCTGCCTCTGCACTCAGAACCACCTGAACTCAGGAATGGCCTTTCTTCCTCAGGGCCCACCTGGCTTACCTGGCCCTCCAGGCCCTCCTGGACCGCCGGGAGCAGTGATTAACATCAAAGGAGTAAGTGGGGAGAGACCTTGTGGGGGGGAGGGGAGAGTGGGTACCAAACTGACCTAAGCCCGAGTCAAATGTCCCGATGGCCTCACTTCTCTTGTCCTCGCTTCCCACAGGCTGTCTTCCCCATACCAACCCGGCCACACTGCAAGATGCCAGTAAGTAGCATACGGTCACTGTCGTAAAGAGCAGGCTTTGCACAGAAAGCAATTCAGAGAAGATGATTGGTCTTTGTCTTGAGCCCTTTCTATCTATCAGTGTCCTCTTTGATGTCTCGTATCACTTACACATAGACCCTTAAGTGACCAGAAGCTTCTAGATAACAAACTGCAGCAATGAAACATACAGGGTCTTCTAAGGGGACACAGGCTGACAGTGATTCTTTAGCCCAATAAAAAACAGTGTCTTTTGTTATCGTAACCATATTAGATTCATGCTTGGAGCAGTATGATAGCCCTCCCGTTATTGATTACCACTACCCTCAGTTCCTGTTCGTTGTGCTCATTCCTGATCATATGCAGTAGCCAAACTAATGGCATCCCAGCTTCATGGCTAGATACATCACTAGCTTGACCTCTCATGTGAATCAACCCATTGATTAAAAAAAAGAACGCCAACAATACTCACGGTTGGCCAAACCAACCCTGCTACCATTGATTGTCTTAAATCTTCGGGCTTCCCCTTTGCAGAGTTGTTTGGCCAGGAGGCCTGACTCCATGACATTGTTCCTCTTGCCACACACTCCCCGGGAGCAGGGGACAGTGGCTACCTGGGCATGCAAACACCAGGACAGGATTCACACGTATGACCTTGCCTTTCTCTCTCCAGGTTGGTGCCGCTCATCCTGGGAATTCAGAACTCATCACCTTTCACGGTACGCACTCCCTCCTTCACCTCACATGTCTCTGGGATATTTCCAGACCCTCGTGCCTCTGCTGGGGTAGTTTTTATGTGCCCATGGGCATAGACTCGGTGGTCAGGAAGAACTGGCTGGCCTAGTATGTGTTAGGAGGGCCCACAGCTGAGCAAGGGCTGTGGGACGGGGCATTTCTGTTTGGTGTTGTCACCCATCTGTTTATCCTACACATCTTGGCTGAGCTTCCTAGTTAGCAGGAAGCACTCCATTTGTCCATTTGTCAGTTTATTCATAAAGCAGCCACTGAATCCTCCTCCTTGCTTGCTGCTGTCCCATGCACCGGGAGGAGACAGGTGAACCCTCCACCATTCCTGTCACTACCTCTGTCTTCACCATCAGTCTCCCATAGGCACTGTTAGGTGAGAGTATTTTAAAAATTGCCACGATGTTGCTGAAACCGGTTTGGCTCAATGGATAGAGCGTCGGCTTGGGGACTGAAGGGTCCCAGGTTCGATTCCGGTCAAAGGCATGTACCTTGGTTGCGGGCACATCCCCAGTGGGGGGTGTGCAAGAGGCAGCTGATCGATGACTCTCTCTCATCGATGTTTCTAACTCTGTATCTCTCTCCCTTCCTCTCTGTACAAAATCAATAACATATATTTAAAAAATAAAAAAATAAAAAATAAATAAAAATTGCCACGATGCAACATATCAAGAGCTAGTACAGGGCAGGGCCACTGGAGCCCGGAAAACCTCTGCTGCAAAGTGTTCTTGGACCAGCAGCATCTTCATCTCCTAGGAGCTTGTTAAAAATGCAGGAACCCCAACACCACCACCTCCCCGCAGACCTGCTGAGTCAAAGCTGCATTTTAACAAGCACCCTGCTGGGGTGCAGCACAGCAGAGTGTGAGAAGCCCTGGCTCTGAGCATTTGATTAGCAAGTTCGAGGCCTGAGGGAGCTCATTTATCACACAGGGAGTGGGAACGTTCCGGAAACTGAGCACGCAAGTGAGCACTCAATCTGGTCCTCTGTCCCCACACATCTCTGTGCCCCCCTTTTGATTGAGAAGTCTGAACACTTGCAGCTTAAACAGGGGAAGCCTTTCTTATTTCTTTTTCTTCTTTCCAATCCTGACCTCTGGCTGGGCTCTGTCACCCTTAGCCCAACAGGTGGTGGTCTCCCTGGTGATAGCTGGCCCCATTTTGCAGTTAGTTGTAAGTTTGGTTACAAAGTCCAGGCTGTTTTCAGACTCCCTGCTCAGATCCAGATCAAGGCTTTCCCTTCCTCCTCTTCAAGGTGGGCCTTGGGGAGGACGGGGTGAATGTGGATTTACTTTCTCAGATCCCCAGGGCTTCCCCGTTCCTCTCAGGGTTCTTCTGGGGGGAGGGGGCGGGAGCAGACTTTTCTGGATGCAGGCCCTGGTGAGCCGGTTGTCCTCCCTCTTACTTGCGGGTCTACTCCTGCTCCCTCGATGAGCGGCCACATGGGCAGCGGCGAGCTGGCTGTCCTCTTCTCGGGGCTGCGCCGCTGTCTGTGGTCCCACTGTGATCCAGAGGTGGCTCCCACGTCCTGGCCTCAGCCCCCTCCCCAATCAGTGAGGCATTGCCGGGTGTGATTGCCTCTCCCACTGATCCCCAGCTGGCAGCATCCTGCCCCTAATACATTCTCCCTCTCCCCGATCTCCCCCCCCCCCCAATCCCTGCATTGGAAGCTAAGCCCCAACTTCATCTACGCTGTATGCCCATCTCTAGGTTCAAGGGCATGGGCCAGTTGATCTCTCAGACCTCTTGGGAACCAGGAATTCAACAATGTAGTGTCCACCACTCACCGAGGCTGGGGGAGGGGTCGCTTCTCTTCCTAAATGCCGAACTCCCAGTAGGAGCTCATGCCTCTCTCCCTTCTAAAGAGTTGGGGAAGGGGTTGCCAGTGAAGCCAGTTCTGCAGAAAGGGTGCTCCTCACAAGCCCTGCGGGGAGTAGGGGGGTCACACAGTTGGCATCTGTCAGCTCTGTAAGCCCCTGACACCACCATGCAGCACAGGCATAGACGAGGTGAGGCTGCAGGCACGTGTGTGCCTCGGGCATGTGTGTGCCTCTGGCATGTGTGTGAAGCTATGGGAGTGAGTTGACCAGCTTCTGCTGGGCTCCCATGATGCACTGCTGGTATCTTCATGATGCCACATCCCATCCTGCCGCCCATTACCCTTCACTGTGTCTGTCTCCCCAAGACCGAGCCTTTTAAGGTCTGCTGCGTCTACCTCTGTCTTCACCATCAGTCAGCGAAGATTTTACACTCTAATAGGCCTTTGTTCATTGTGTGGACTTTGTGAAAGGGGCTCCCTTTGAAAAACTTGTCTCAAGAATGCTTTATATAAAATGAAGATAATTTTCCACTTTTTTTTTTAATGTATTTGTATTTTTTTGCAGGAGTTAAAGGAGAAAAAGGAACCTGGGGTCTTCCCGGCTCCAAAGGAGAAAAAGGCGACCAGGGCGCCCAGGGACCGCCAGGTATTTCACCTCTTGGGCTAGATCTTGCCTTGGATTGTTGTCCCTGAGAAATCCAACTGAGCCAGAAAGTAAGACTAATTACATAACCGCCCTGACCGCAAGCTGCACGGAATTCAAGAGAGACCCAGTCGTGGGTGACATGCCCAAGACGGAACATTGTCAGGAGAGACCAGGAGTTCCTATTATTCATGCTTCCTATGCCAAATGAGGCCTCAGGGGATGTGCCAAGATCCCACAGTGCCTGGGGTGGGGGGTCCAGGACTGTTTCTGCCTCCAGGCCCAGTGCCCACTCTGTTAGCTAAACCAATGCAGAGTTACTTCCACTAGGAAATAATCATGGGTGCCAACGTGGAGCCTTTGCTTTTTAAATTTCTGAGATTGTGATTGCATTTCTTTTCCAGGCCCTCCAATGGATCCGGCTTATCTGAGACATTTTATAAACAGCATGAAGGTGAGTGTTTGTCTCCTAAATTTGGGCCTGTGTTTCCACGTTCTCAGGGGTATGTCGGAGACCGGTTCACCCTCCTCGTACTAAATGTCCTTTGAACGCTCTCTGCTTCCAGGGGGAGAACGGAGACAGGGGGTTTAAAGGAGAAAAAGGAGACTCTATCGGCGACTTCTCTGTGTCAGGACCTCCAGGCCGGCCAGGAAGTCCAGGCCAAGCTGTGAGTAGTGACCCCTGCATGCCACCTTCCTTGTCAAGTCACCACTTTCCCTGAAACCCCCCAATGTGACTGGGCAGTTGGAGAGTCAGGAGTCAGTCATTCGCCACCGGCTAAGGTGGGACCTGGGTGTCGGCCTCTTGTTGACTGAGGGGGCCTTGGCTGAGGCCCATGGAGGTCAGGGAGTCAGCCAAGGCCATAAGCATTCAAGTTACTTCCAGTTCTCTAACTGTGTTGCCTTGTTCATGGTAATGGTGGGAAACTGCTGAATAGGAAGAGATGTTAATAGTGAACAAACACATCAGATAGTGGAGACAGAATGGGAGGTGAGGGAGGCATTTTTCAGAGGGGCTATTTCATTCTTTTGAAATCTCATCAGAGAGGAAGCTCTTAGATGGGCTTCATCTTTTTGGGCTGACACGTTTCTCCAGGTCACAGGAGAGGAAACCGAGTTATGCCTCTAGTAAGAGGATGATGTGATCGCTGACCCTCAGGGCTTGGCATGAGGCCAGGGTTCCACATCCAGATTTGCTTCCATTTGCTTTGGTAAAGTCTAGGTCTCAGCTTCTTTATCTGTGAACTGAAAAGGCTAGACTAGACGATCTTCTAGTTTGGGGCTCTCTGGGGTACTCTGGAGAGTCATTCAGCACAGTGACTGGGTGTACACCACTCGAGTTGTGCCCGAGATTGAGGATAATGATGACAAGAGAGAGTATTTATTGGCTACTTACAAATGTCCTCTTAAAAAGAATAGGGGGATTCCTAGTGATTAATGGTGCTTTCTTTCTTCTATCCTTCTGCCCTTGCCTTCACAGGGTCAGAAAGGGGAGGCTATTGTTGGGCCCCAGGGACCTCCAGGTGTTCCTGGCCTCCCTGGGCCACCTGGCTATGGAAGACCTGGTTCTCCTGGGCCACCGGGACCCCCAGGGCCACCAGGACCTCCAGCTATCCTAGGGGCAGGTTAGTACTGTGATGGTATTCTGCTGTTTTGTTCAGGGTTACCCCATCTGATGGCATGTCAACTACACTGACAAAGAACTGCTTTCTGAATGGAACTAGCTTCCTTCTTCCTTCCTTCCTTCTTTTCTTCCTTCCTTTCTTTCTTCCTTTTTTAAAAAAATTGAGGCTGGTCCGAGTGCAGTGGTAAAAAAATTGAGATAATTTATAAAATTCACCCATTTAACGTGTACAATTCATATAGTCACAAGGTTATGCAGCCATTACCACTCTAATTCCAGTACAGTTTTATCACCTCAAAAAGAAACTCTGTGCCAATTAGCAACACGCTAATTTAGCATACCCCCATCCCCAAACCTGGTAACATGATGTACTTTCTATATCTGTAGAGTTGCCTATTCTGGACATTTCATATAAATGAAATCACATATTATGTGGCCTTTTGTGTTTAGCTTCTTTCACTTAACACAGCACTTTCAAGGGTCCACGTTGCAGTGTGTGGCTGCTTAACATTCCAGTGATACGTTTTGTTTATCCATTCATAAGCTGATGGATATTTGAGTTGTTTCTATTCTTTGACTGTTATGAATAGTATTGCATGAACATATGTGTACAAGTTTTTATGTGGATGTATGCTTTTAGCTCTCTTGGGTATATAACTACGAGTGGAATTGTTGGGTCATACATGTTTAACTCTTTGAGGAACCTTATCACAGTGTTTTCCAAAGGGCTGCACCATTTTGCATTCCCTCCAGGAGTGTATAGAAGTTTCAATTTCAGCCCTAGCTGGGTGGCTCAGTTAGTTGGAGCACCAAAAGGTTGCAGGTTTGATTCCTGGTCAAGGAACATTCCTAGGTTGCAGATTTGATCCCAGTGCATGTACGTGAGGCAACCAATGGATGTTTCTCTCTCATATCTCTCTCTCTCTCTCTCTCTCTCTCTCTCTCTCTCTCTCTCTCTCTCTCTTTCTCTCTCTCTCTTTCTCTCTCTCTCTCTCTATCTCTCAAAAGTAAACATATCTTTGGATGAGAATTTTAAAAAAGTTTCAATATCTCCTCTTCATCAATGCTTGTTATTATTATTATTTTTTTTTTGTCATCCTAGTGTGTGTGAAGTGATACTCACTGTGATTCTGATTTGCATATCCCTAAAAATGACTGGTGTTGGGTGTCTTTTCATGTGTGGGTGGACACTTCTTGACTGCTTTGCCTATCCCTGGGCCTTGAACTTGAGGACCAGCATTGACTCTAACTCTCTCTGTAAAATTTCTTCCACCTGTTAGTGCCTCACTTCCTTAAATGGAAAATGGGTAAAACAGAAGAAAATCTCCATTTACCAAATGCCAGGAGCTCTGCTAGTCACTCCATTACATTAATTTATTAAAATCTCACAAAGCCCTTCCAGGAAAGTATCAGCATTCCCATCTAGCAGATGAGAAAAGTGAGAGCCAGAGATATTTAGGAACCTTTCCAAGATCACACAGCTAATAAGTGGCGCCAACATGTTAGGGCCCAGGTCAGTGTAGCTCTGAAGCCTGTGTTCTTTTCGCTGTGTCCATGGTGGAAAAGTAATAGTAATGGCAATAATAGCATGACTGCATCATTTTTTGTGGTTTGGGCTGGCATGAGCCAGGTGTGGTAGAAGCACAGCTAGGAAGACATCTGCAGTGTCTGAGTGCCAGGCAGAACTTTACATAGTGGGTGACTTTGTGGCTGGGGCTTTGACTGAGTCTTGGATCTTTGGGCTACAAGGGACAGAAAGGTAACTCAGACTAGATCCAGCAGAAGTGAACCGTACAGCTTGTGAAGGAGAGACGAACAGTCCGTGTGTGAGAGAGGTAGATGTACAGCAGGACCTCAGGTACAACCAGAATCAGGGGTCCAATCCCTGCAAGGGTCCTCTGGCATCTCTTGTCTCAGCTCCTCTCTGTATGCGCACTTCATGCTTCTTCACCACAGACCACATCCTCTGCGTGGTGGGAAGGAAATAAGGTTACTGACAGCTTACAGCTTCTACTGTCAGCTAGAGATTTTGGCCTTTCTCCTCAATTTTTGTTTGAAAAGTCTTGGGACGGAGCAAGTCTTGGGAAAGGCTTTTGATTGGCCTGACTTGGACCCAGGTGTCCAACCTGTGGTCAGGAGGCAGGATCACATGAGAATATGACAGCTCCTTCTGGAACCAAATGGTTGTAGAGGTGAAGGGGAAGATCCCAAGAGAAGGTAAGGTACTGGTCCTGCAAAGAAAGAAGGTGCTGAATAGAAAAACCATCAGTGTCTTGAGTGATGAGCAGGTATTATAGGAGGTCAGGACACGGGTGGCGGCGGGGGGGGGGGGGGTGCTAGGGGGAACATTACATGGACAGTACAGGATGCAGAGAATCTGTTGTCCATAGTAACCCTACATCTGGGGCCCCAGGACTCTTTGCTCAATAGAACAAAGATTGTCACTCACATAATGAACAGCAATTCATAGTTTAAAAAACACTCCCAGATTCATTATCCCACTTAATTTTTACAGCATCCTTGTTAGGGAGATGAAATGGAAACTACTATAAAACTCATTCCATGCATGAAGACACTGAAGCTCAAAGAGTTAAGAAACTTGCTGAAGGTCACAAATACTAGTAAGAGGCATGGCTAAATCCCAGTCCTCTTACCTGCTTTCCACTGGGCATTCGCCACTTGTGTATGGATCTTCAAGTCCTGTGTCAGAACTGCAAACTTTCTGGCAATGACCCGAAAAATCCGATACAGCAATTTTACTGGGTCTTATAAAAACATCCTTAATTCTGCAAGGGCCTTGCAGATTTGAGGGAGGAATATGTGGATTGGAAAGGTAGAAAGAGAAGAAAAGAATAGTTGTCATAATATTTCTTTATGCTTGCCCGTTTTGTTGGAGAACCATAAACTCCTTGAGGATTCAAGGATCACCTCAGGGAGCTGTCATCCCACTAACATTTTATGTAGAATCGTGAGTGTTTGCAAGTGCATTTTTCTAGGGAAGAGGGCAATGGCCTTGATCTGATTAAGTGCACTGTGACTCTTCAGAAGCAAGAACCTCTGGCAAATTGAATACTGTACAATTTGCAAAGCATGTGTCTAGTTTGTATTTTTCTCAGTTCTCATTGCAGCCCAGTGAAGAAGAAATGCCTGCTTACATTCCACAGATAAGGAGACTAGGGTTGGGAGAGCTTGCTCTTTCCCCAAGATCACACAGCTGAAAGCGGGGACCTGCGGCCAAGTCTTCTGGCCCCAAGGCTCCTGTCACTTCACCTATTTGCCCTCCTTCTGCAGCCTGGCACCTTCTCTTCCTCTTTCTGAGCCCACTTCCTCTGTTCAGTAGTTTTTAGATGTGAGTGACAGAAAACGCAACCCAGACTGACTTATACAAACAACAGTAACCAAGATGTATTCACATACAAAATAGAGAAGTCCTGGGCAGGGCTTCATCCAGCCTATCATCAAGAAGCCCAAATGGACACAGACACTGGGGCAGTGACAGCTTGCCCAGGGTAGACAGGGCTGAGGTCAGGAGAGGTCAATAGGGGGAAAAGGAGACATATGTAAAACTTTAGACAGTAAAAAGAAGAAGGAGGAGGAGGAACAAGAACTTCCCCAAACCAGTCTACGTGGCTCAGTCTGGTCTGGGCCCAGAGTGCCCAAGGTCTGGAGGCAAGCACCCATGCTTTGCAGCACTGCGGGTGGGCTTGTTCTGCTCCCCTTAATGACCAGCTAACACCAAGGGGTTGTCCAGAGAGTGTGACTTTTTCTAACTTCTCTCTTCTGCTTTGTCGTAGCCGTGGCCCTGCCAGGCCCGCCTGGTCCTCCAGGACAGCCAGGGCTTCCCGGATCCAGAAACTTGGTCAGTAGAGTGATCAGTGTGCATCCGTCCTCTGCTTTAGATGGGTTTACTTTGCACTTTGGCTACAGTATGTAGGGGCTGTGACACAATTATGTTGGAATGAGGTGTCTATGATGGTCGTGTTGGTGCAATCCCACAAACAGAGGGTATTCATTATCTCTTTAAATGACTTCGTAAGTAAAAAGATTCTGAATACAAAATCATCTATGAATTCAGTTGTGCCCTTTTATTCCTTAATTAACTAAACTAAGTAGAACCAATCATACGACATCAAAAACAGAAGCACTAGAGTGTAAACAATATCACATCAGACCCCATGCTGGTTCCTTAGCCTCCTCTGTTCTGCCAGAGGATATCTCTTGTGCACTCATTGCGCTGCAGGTCACTGGAGCAGGCAGAGCGCCCCGGGGGGCTCTGATGATGCACCAACAGGGGGCGGTTCCTCTCCAGGATGTCAGGAGTTCTAGGAACGCTCTGTGATCTTTGAAGGCTGTTAGTTGGGCTGCGAGTGAAAGAACAGTCCAGCAGATAATGGAATGTTGGTATTTGCTGCCGTTGGGGGATTTCTAAGCCATTTCGAGGCATAGTTACTATCCTCATGGCTAAGTGAAAATTAATCTTTTATAATCCTGCTCAGTGGAAATGAAAAGTAAAAGCTCTCTTGGCTGATATTTCTTTGAGGCTTGGTGCTTTTCTATAGACATTTGCAGACATTCTGTCTACTCTTGGATATGCCAAGATGACGGTCTAACCCTTTGACAGCTTTCTAAACAGAGAAATGACAGAGCCTCATTTTCTACCAGGTAGTTAGTATTGTAACTACCTGGTGCGGCAAGAAAAATTCGAGGCCTAAGCAGAATTGTTTGCTTGCTTCATTTCTTATTCCAAATGAAAACACATTTGAAGCTCTGAATGCAGCAGGGTGAGACAACACATGTGGCCACAGAAATCTAAGTGGCAAAGCTCACCAACCACTTTGCTGATACCAGCACCCAACAAAGGCAGCTCTCCAGTTTTTAAATTCTTTATACTCGCAGCCTATTCTCTTAACATATACATCTATTGCAACTTAGAGTTGTGTTCCAAAAGACTTCATGTTTTTGTTTTATCAAAAAGATTGTCCTTTGGTTATGAGGAAGCTATGTATCACCCTCTGGCACAAGAGGCTTTTTCGTTGACTAAGACGGGCAGGGGGTTATATTGACAAGGAGGCCAGCTTTCCGAGTGCCGCTGCTCCCAGATCACCTCAGTGTTTGGTTTTAAATGGCCTGACAGGTTACAGCCCTGAGCAGCATGGCTGACATGCTGCAGTATGCACACCTGGTGACAGAAGGGACGTTCATCTACCTGAGGGACAGCACCGAGTTTTTCATTCGTGTCAGAGATGGTTGGAAAAAATTACAGGTAATTCTTCAACTTTCTTAAATAAATTGCCTCCAAATAGCCCCTGAAAAGTAATCATCTACTCTTGTGAATGCTCTTTTTCTGTTTTAAAAATAGGTGAACAGTTTCCAGTTGGTTCATTTTCTCTGTACTGTTTTTTCTTAAAGCTGGGAGAACTGATCCCCATTCCTGCAGACAGCCTTCCACCCCCTGCGCTCTCCAGCAACAACGTGAGTAGTTTTCCTGCCCTGCGTCTTGCTCAGCATTTACTGAGTCCCCGTTGGTGCCTGGCACCCCGCTCTCCAAACTCTGGACAGCCAGCGCTGCATGGCTCAGTATCTGGTGGAAGCCCAGGAATGACCAGGTGCCCACAGAATGTTCTCACTACAGAGACGAAAGATATCTGGACCCAGAGGCTGGAGATTTCCATGTCATAGCTGAATCCTCCTGGGCAAGGGGCTTTCCCTCTCTTGGCCTCAGTTTATTCATCTGTGATATGATGATTGGCATAAGTGATCTTAAGGAACCCTTTAATACTTGACACTTATTGGCAACTTACATTGTCCATTTCTTGACCCTACAGCCACCTTCGAGACAGGTACTATCATCCCATTTTGCAGATGAGGAAACAGGCTCTGAAGAGGTGACTTGCTCTATTAAGGGAATGGGTCAGCTGTCAAACATGGGCCTCTGCTTCCCTGACTTAGTGCTCTTTCTTTTTAAAAAAAAAAAAAAAAAGAATATATATTTTATTGATTTTTTTACAGAGAGGAAGAGAGAGGGATAGAAAGTTAGAAACATCGATGAGCGAGAATTATAGATCAGCTGCCTCTTGCACGCCCCCTACTGGGGATGTGCCCACAACCAAGGTACATGCCCTTGACCGGAATTGAACCTGGGACTTTTCAGTCCGCAGGCCGATGCTCTATACGCTGAGCCAAACCAGTATCGGCTCAGTGCTCTTTCTTAAAGATTGAGAATATTCCATTCCTTTCTGAGAATTATTTTTTTATTCCCAATTAAGACTGGCCCAAAGACCATGACAAACTAAAGTATCTTCTCCAGAAACTTTGCACTTGCACCTCAATGTCCTCTGAAGAAGAGACTGAATGAAATGAAAATAGTCAGAACTGTTTGTTTTCTTTCTTTCTTTCTTTTTCTTTTTTTTTTTTTTGCATGATAGCCTCATCCGCTTCGACCTCCACTGATGCCTGTTTCAAGTGTCAATTATGGGAAGCCTGAAGTAAGTACGATTCATGCACTTACTCTGCAAATGCTGAATGTGTATCTGCTATGTGCTAGGTCCCATGCTGGGCCCACAGTTCCTACTGTCAAGGTGCAAATAGACAAGCAAGAGAGGCAAACAAAAAAATAGGTAATTACAGCACATTGTGCTAAGTCGTTTGGCTGAGGCAATCAAAGGATTGCAAGGGGGGGGGAGGGTGTTGCAAGGAAGGTCAAAGAAGTCTACCTTCTGTAGAAGAGGTGACCTCTTAAGCTAAGACCTAAATGGCAATTGAGAGCAGGAGAGAGCCAGGTGGAGGTGTGTGGAAGAGAGTGGGAATTCCAGGCAGAGGGCATATGGAATAGAGGAGGCAAGGGGGAGTGCTGTACATTTCCATAATTTTGAGCATTTCAGTCTGGCTGAAGGAGTAGAGTTCAAGAGATATTCAGTCTGCAAAGGGCATGGGCTAAATCATCAAGCTTTGCAAAGGTCTTTCTTCCTAATTGCCTTTCATCCCCCACCCCAACACATAGACATAGGTTATATCTTCAAAGCTTACACACAACTTTGGGTGGCCATGCACTGATCCTGGCCCTAATTCAATGTGATCTTACACCTGCGGAGCCCAATACTTTCTGACTCAATTCAGAGTTTTGAGAGCGATGGTTTATATGGGTCATCTTGGGTCAATCGCCCACGCCCAGACAAATCAAAACTAGCCAAGAATGCATGGCCTAAGACCACTTTTTAAAACAAGAGTTGTGGGGACATATTACCAAAAAACAAGGGATGGGTTTGGCAGACACCAGAAGCATGTTCCCTATCATGCTGTCTTCATCATGCAGGAGTTCATGTGGGCCTAGTGAGCCTGAGGCACCTGTAGGACACCTGAGTGGAGACTTCCAGGAGGGAAAAGGATATGAAGATATAAACACCACAGTGGGTCTGGTCTGGAGACTTAGACTTAGAGTCTTTAGCCAAGCCATGGCAGTGATGACAGGGTGGTAGAATTCCCGAGAGAGAATCTCTACAGTGAGAAGAGATTGGACCCTGAGGATCCCCAGGTAGAGAATGAATAAGACACCCTCATTCTAAGAAGTCTGTGATCTCATTAGGAAAATGAGATGGTTATAGGACTTGGTGTTTGCCTTTCACTCTTTAATCATACTGTATTTCCTCTCTCTCTCTCTCTCTCTCTCTCTCTCTCTCTCTCTCTCTCTCTCTCTCTCTCTTTGCAGCTGCATTTGATTGCTCTGAACATGCCATTTTCTGGGGACATTCGAGCTGATTTCCAGTGCTTCCAGCAGGCCAGGGATGCAGGACTGTTGTCCACCTACCGAGCATTCTTATCCACCCATCTGCAAGATCTCTCCACAATTGTGAGGAAAGCAGAGCGATATAACCTACCAATAGTAAATCTCAAGGTAAAAATAAATACTGTCCCTATTGCCTCTCAGGTGCACTGGTCTCCACAGGGACTGGAGGCAGTTGCCACTTTCTGACATCATCTGAAGTGTGCTGGTTCCAGGCCCAGCCTGTCCCTGATTGGCTGTGTGACTCTGGGTGGGTCACTTTCTTTCTCAGAACCTTAGTTTTCTAATATTTACAGTAGCCTTCCTGCCTGGATGGTATGACTCATGGAGCAGACAGGAGGGAGGAATAATGACCTCTTTCACTTACATAGTTTTCTAATGTTTACGGAGTACTTTACATTCATTATTTTAATACGTACCTTCAATAAAAAAGGAAGTTATTCTTTTGTCAGATGAGGAAACTGAGGCTCAGGAGAAAGACATTTGCTCAAAGTCACTACAATCTAGATTAGTTTCCTTGACACCCCCCTCCCCCAACACACACACACACACACACACACACACACACACACACACACACAAATCTGGGGTTCTTGGTTCTACCTGAGATGCCTTCTGTAGGGCACTGGCTGAGTGGTATCAGAGAATAGCTGGTAATCACTGGTCACAGAGCAGAGACACCTTGTCCTGCAGCCTGGTTCCAAGTCTTTGGCACATCTAAGCTGGAAGATATTTCTCTGCCCCCATTGGGAGACAAGGGAGGGCCTCAGTGATATAATTAACCGCGGAAGTAGTTGACTCTTCAAAGCTGCAGAGGTACACCTCTGTTATTGCTCACACACACCCTGGGGCCCGACCTCCCACTAGATCTCAAAGGTACTTTGACACCCTCTTGTCCTTGGGACCCTAGTACTTCAATTTGGGACCAAATTTTTTGTATGCTTGCAATAAAAAATAGCTGAAGGGAACAGGGCTCCTTCAGAAGAAAGGAGTAAGAGATTTATCTCTATAATGTGGATTGGCACAAATTTGAAGCTCGTCATATACATATAAAATACTTTCAAACAATAAGGAAATAAAGACCTAAAACATACTTTTGACAGGATAGGACTTTGTATACATATCATAAGAAAAATAGTTTAAAAAAATAAGATAGTAAAACTGAAAGGGTTCAGGAATGGATGATAAAATCAAACAATAGATATTTCCTGAGTCCCCACTCGGCCTCTGTGATTGAGGTTGGTTTCAGTGTGTGGTGACATGTGGCCTTAAAGAATGAGCAAATAGTCCTAACCGGTGTGGCTCAGTTGGTTGGGAATTATACCTGCACTGAAAGGTTGTCAGTTTGATTTCTAGTCAGGGAACATGGCCAGGTAGCGGGCTCATGTGCAGGAGGCAGCCTATTGATGTCTCTCTCTCCCTCTCTCCCCTTCTTAAAAAAAAAAATCAATAAAAAATATTTAAATTTAAAAATAATAATAAAAGAATGAGTAAATAACTAGTTCACTTGCAGGCTGATGTATAATGATTCTAATGTGACATTTTTGTCTCCATAGGGCCAAGTACTTTTCAATAATTGGGACTCAATTTTTTCTGGCCATGGAGGTCAGTTCAGTACACATGTTCCAATATACTCCTTTGATGGCCGAGACGTGATGACAGATCCTTCTTGGTAAGTAGGGGCGGAAGCCTCAAAGTATATGGTATGATAGACAGTTTTAGGAGACATTCTAACCATGGGATGCTTTTGTCAGCTGCCCCTCTGGGGCTTTGCCATCATAAAGCCTCAGGGAGGTAGCTAAGGGCCATGGAGAGAGTCCTGGCTTTGGAGCCGGGTCCAAGACCTTAATATGGGACCTTCGACAAGGCCCTTCTGCTCTCTGAGCCTCAGCTGCCTCACCTGTTGAATGGGCAAGGTAATCATATCTATCCCATAGAGTTGTTGGGAAAATGGAATAAGTGTGAGAACATCTAGAATATAGTAAGGCACTTAATAAGTGGTAAGCAATGCTACTCTTGGTGATCCTTCAACCCTTCAACCCTTCGTGAGCTGCACGCAAATCTTTTGAAAACTATGTATGCTATTAAGAATAGAACAACTCAGAGTGTTGGCCTGTGGACTGAAAGGTCCCAGGTTTGATTCCAGTCAAGGGCATGTACCTTGGTTGCTGGCATATCCCCAGTAGGGGGTGTGCAAGAGGCAGCTGATCAATGTTTCCCTCTCGTTGATGTTTCTAACTCTCTATCCCTCTCCCTTTCTCTCTGTAAAAAATCAATAAAATATAAAATAAAATAAAAAGAATAGAACAACTCAGCAAATCTTTCCTCAACATCTACTCTATGCCACTCCCGATACTAGGCCTGAAGGCACAGTATCTACATGGCCCCTACCCTTACAAGGCTTACAGCCTACAGGGCAAGAGAGACACAGATTAGCTGTGATTCCAGCCAGAACACCGCAGTAGTAAAATGGATTTCACCCATTACTTGGGGTGAGAATCAAGAAGGCTTCTGTACAAGGAAGCATTTAATGGCCTTTGAAGGATGAGAAAGAAAACCCTGTCTGAGAATGAAAGAGAGGCTGGTTTAGACAAAAGGACCTCATGAGGGAAGGTTCAGGTTCACATAGCACAGGGTATGATTTGAGAACATGTATGAGCTGGGTGTGGTGGAACGTAGCGTGTTCAGCTACTAGTACCGGTAATTAGAAAGAGCATTGAGGATGGAGAGATGACATGGGGTCAATCCAGGGAGGGCTCAGGGGCTTTGACTTCATTTGCTAGACTTACGCCAATTTGTTCACTGAAATATGCCATGAAGTAGAAGGAAAAAAAAATAACATGACAAAATTACTTTTCAGGCCACAGAAGGTTGTTTGGCATGGCTCCAACCCCCACGGAGTGCGTCTCGAGGATCAGTACTGTGAAGCATGGCGGACCGCCAGCACGGCAGTCACGGGATTGGCCTCCCCGCTGAGCACGGGGAAGATTCTGGACCAGAAAGCATATAGCTGCTCGAGTAGGCTAATTGTTCTCTGTATCGAAAACAGTTTCTTGACCGACGCTAGGAAGTAATGACCTTCCCATGACTTTAAGAGTTCCCCAATTTTTCTTATGTGAAGAGTTGACACTGAAATCTAAAACCTTTAAATGTTGTAAATATTGGTGGTTTTTGTTATTACACATGCATCACAACAGCAACCAAAGAAAACATACCTCAACACACTCAAAACTGAAGACATCAACAACTCAGATCAAAGATAAACATCTGATCCACATTTTGGTGCTAGACTCTGCAGGAAACCCCAGGCAGTGCGAACACATCCCAACGTGGCCGAGAGCACGTTGTAGACAAAAGGCCTTGGCACGCTCCCGACTGCATCCTTCAGAAAGTAATTTCCTCGTTTCAGCCATTGTTGTTGAGTGTAAGATGTCCTTCATGTTTTCTTACAAAGTCGGTGTTTAGAAATATTACCCCTCTTTAAGTTATGTGCAGACCCAGTGCTTTATTCTTTAATATACACCCAGCATTTGCAACTGCTGTTCGGTGGAGATACCGAAGTGCTCAGATGATCCTATCTGTAGTTTCTGGTATTATCAGATTTCAATGTTTTTATTTTCTAAAATATTGTCCTCATGCTTTAGGAGTTTTATATTTTTGCTACAACCATATTTTAGTATGGCCTCTGTTTATATATCACTCTGACTTGCTGGAAAAGTTTAAACTCCCAGTTATCTGAAACTAGAAAAGAAATAACACGTAATTCCTACCTTTCCCTTGGTGGTCCTTTCCCCCTGATTTTATGATTTCCATTTGGCAACTCTTGAATTATAACTGCGATTGAACAAATGGGTTCATGAGGTTGGATTTGCTGAGATACCTATATTTCATGCTGTATACTTTGATCTTTTTTTCCATGTAAGTGAACATAAAAACATCTTTTCCAGGCGCTTTCTTTTGTTTGATTTTTCCCCCTCTGGTTCCTTTATTCTCCACCACTGATGTGGAAATAGCCCCCGGGTGGGTCTACTAACCCTGTCACTGCCGCTTGTGTAGTCCTCGGGGGTGATCAGAAAACAGGAAGATTTTTCCCATCATGCTCTTCTGCTCCTGCTTATTCTCTCCCACTTGGAGGGGGCAGTGTGAGGGTGGGCTGAAGAACCCCAGTGTGGGAAACAGGATGAACTGTGACTGTCTCAACACATAACTTTGGACAAGCCTGCTTTTTTTCTCTCAAAAAGGTTGGGATCAAATAAGCATAATATCAGCTCCCAGTTATTATACATCAGACTTAAAAGTGGTATTTACCTTTCCTATTACCTCTGTAAAGAGGGCATTCCTATCTCCACTTTACAAATGAAAAAGACACGGTTGAGGGTCGGGAGGTCACACAGCTGCTGAGTGATGGGGCTGGTTTCAGACTCAGAGTCTGTTTCATTCCAGTGCCAAGATCTTTTCAAGGAGCCACCGTGCAAAGCTGCCCATCCGCTCCTTCCCACCTCCCAGTCTGGGACTCCCTGCCTTGACCCTGCAGAAAAACAGCATCATTGGGCAAAGGGCATGCCGGGACATTTCCTCCCATTCAGCTGGCCTGGCTCAGAAACTCAGCCAAGTGAATCTACACGAATAGTCCTTGAGGTAGGAAGGAAATTGACCCCAAAAATATCCAGAACTTCCACTTAGGGGCTTCCTAAACAGAGGAGTGATACAAATCTCTCTAATGAGTCACGGAATGAAGACAGATATAGGTTGGAAAGCCCAAGAGGTGGACTGTTGAGGACCAGGCAGTGACGGGGGCTGGGGTGGCTGGATGGACAGGAGCTGTGGAGGAAGGAGAGTATGAGGCTCCAAGGCCATGAAAGGAAGCCATCCATTTTGGTCAGAGCCCACATGGCCCTGGGTCACAGAGGGGCAAGGCAGGCTGGGGGGCCTGTGAGAGCCAAAAGTAGGAGAGACCGCTTTTTTAACCTCAGGAAGTGGTGTTGATGTTTATGTCCTGACTTCTCAGTCCTCTTTGGTTATACCAGGGAGGGTATAACCAATGGCCCTCCCAAAAGGGACCCAGTATCGTCCCTAGCCCCGCTCAGATTCGGAGAATGACCGCTAAAATCCTGGGCCTGGCATTCAAGACCTTCACTGAACTCTGCTTTCCTGTCATTTCCCAGGCCACATAGGCCCCTCTGCCTGGCTGTTCATGCCCTGGCCTGTCTTAGGAGAGCCCTAACCACTCTAAGTCTAGGCTGGCTCTCTTGTTGATAGCCAGTGCAGACTCTGCTTCATCTGTGACCTCACCCTTTCCCCTGAACCTGCCTGCTTTAGTCATGCTTCCTCTTTTGATCACCTGCTATGTGTGTAACACCCGCATCTTGTCCCACTATGGAAAAACAATGACCCTCACCTCTTGAATGGACGGACCTCAAGGCCGGGAAGTAGAGGAATGCTCTCAGACATCATAAGGGAGGAAAGCTATGCCAGAAGGAATTCATCTTTACAGTGTGAATGGTCTTTGGGTCCTTGCTGAATCTTTATTGTGGGAACTCAAGGTCTGAAGCCTGAAGCATCCAAGGTCTCCTGTCGGCAGAATCAGAAGGACAAAGTAATGGCCCCTATAAATCCCTATCAAAGCCAGGCCCCAGGAGGAGGCCAACTTTAAAGGGCACAAAGAACTGAGGAGAGATGGGGGTGGGGAGACAGGGACTGAAGGAGAAGGTCCAGGGCAATCCTTTCGGCCAACCTGGGTGTAGCCACATGGTGGTGCCTAAAGAAAAATGACAAGAGCCACCCCAGATTTCTTGCACCCTCTGGATTTTATAGGGCTTGCATTGTGTTGCTTGAACCTGTAGGGAGTGCAAATAGGAAACAGTGTGGAATTCAGGGAACTGCCGGCAATCCAGTACAGTTGCATATTAATCAATAAGGAAAACACAAGTCAGCTTATTTAAAAAGTAGAAAAAAAAAAAAAGATGTTGGTTCATGAAACCAAGTTGAAAGACAGGATGCAAGAGACTTAAGTGACATCGTCCCTTTGTGTTCTCTCTCTCTCTCTCTCTCTCTCTCTCTCTCTCTCTCTCTCTCTTTCTCTCTCTCTCATCTTGATTCTGCTTTTGTCTGTATGTGGCTTCCTTCCCTCCAACTGAGTACAAGATTCCTTCATGTGGCAGGGGCTCTAAACAGGCTTACATTACTCCACCATCCCAGAGAGTGGCCACAAAGAAGAGAGAAGACTCCCTCTCCCCTCTGGGATTACATTAATTGCTAGAAATGACTCTGATTAGTCTCACATGTGTTGTGTGCCTATGACAGTGATTGGCAGTCCCTCCCAAGGTAAATTGTATACAAGGAATAATTCCTCCACCCAAAATATTGGAGGTTTGCTATGACCAGAAAACAGGGCCTAAGGAGGTTGAGAACATGGAAGGAATGAAGGAAGGAAGGAAGGAAGGAAGGAAGGAAGGAAGGAAGGAAGGAAGGAAGGAAGGAAGGAAGGAGAGAAAGAAAGAAAGAGAGAGAGAAAGAGAAAGAAATAAAAAAGGAGGGGAGGGGAGAGAAAAGAAAAAGGATTCAAGCACACAGTATCAGGAAAGGACTGAGTGTGGAGGTTTAGAGACGGAATGATACACAGAGGTGGGTGCACACTGGCCTTGAAGTCTAGGAGAAGGTGCTTGAAATTTACCCTGCAATTGGTGTAGCACCTGGGATGATTTTAAAAGGTGAGAGATGGGATCAGATCTCCTGGACCCACATGACTGTCTCAGCAGGGACTGGAGGCAGAGATACACTGGGGGAAGCTGTGGTGACTTATGCAATGCTAATAGCACTCTAAGGAGCTATCAATCCTTTTCAGTATAAACTTTCATATTTATAAATATCAACAAACATTTGATTTGCCAAACCTCCTCAGTCATCTGAGGAGATTAAGCAGTCTCAAAAAGGGAACTAGCAGATCAATCTGAGCAAATGGTTTGTATTAAAAAGAATTATTGCAGAAAACAAGAGCTAACTTTTTAAAAGTTCAAATTTGTATTTTGGTGAAATGTCAGAGAGCTAAGAAGCATGACTTGGAATATGAGAAGAATAAGAAACAATTCTTGAAAATGAAATATGTGATTTTATGCACCTTAAAATAAAATATAATTGCAGCATATATATTCTCAAAAACTGATTTAGTGAGAATTAATATGAAGAATTAATATGATCCTCTCTGAACACAGACGAAAGTGTAGATTCATGAGATAAAAAAAAGAGAGAGGGTGGTATATATAATGTCCTGATATTTATATAACAGGAACCATAGAATAGGAAAAAAAGAATGAATGTAAGTGAACAACTAAAAAAATAATGAAAGAAAATTTCCTGAGCTGAAAGAGTATTGCCTATGGATTATAAATAATCCTGGGAAGAATTGTTGTAAAAAAATAAATAAAAAATCTACAGGGCATAAAGGTAAGATTTCTGCATTTCAAGTGATGTTAGAATCCTATAAACTTTCATATAAAAGAAGATTCAGACTAGCATTGGAATTCTCATTTGCAATATTAAAAATTAGAAGATAATGTATAAATAATCTTATAGATTTAGAATTATAATCTTAAAATTTTGCAGCCTGATAGACTGAGAACAAAAGAGAAATATCAAGACTCCAAATTATAATTAGTTACACTTTCTGAGAAATAAAATTTGTGAAATAATTATAACCAAATAAAAGTGAATAGAAAATTAATATCTTACAGAGTAGAGGGCATTGCAATATCTTAGAAATCTCATGAGAAATAATTCAGGATAACATAGCTATGTCTAATCAATGTTTCCTAATGTATAATACAGGTACCACTTTTGGTTTGAAGTGCTTTTGCTTTTATATATATATATATATATATATATATATATATATATATATATATGGCTAAGCCACTAAGTTGGTAGGTATGACACACACTCTCCACCAGGGGCCAGACACTCAATGCAGGACGAGCTGCAATGACTTGGCAGCAGAGGTTCTTAAGTGACACACCCTGGAACCAGAGAGGAGGGAGCACAATTCCAGGGTGTGTCACTTAAGAACTGCCCTCTCTCAATCTGGGACCTCTCTCGGAATGTTAGAGAGCTGGTTTCAGCCTGGTCCCCACAGGCCAGGCCAAGGGATTCCATCTGTTGGAGGGATCCCGCTCACTCCGCAGACACCCTTTGAGCCATGGCACCACCCCAGGTGCAGCCAGCCAGGGAGGGACCACGGAAGGTTGGCTCCAAGGCATGTCTCACCCCTCTCACCCAGTCCCACCCCACCAGCCACCTTCTAATTAATTTCCTTTCAATGTGCATGAATCCATGCACTGGGGCACTGGTAGTTATATACTTATTTTCATGTGTGCTAGAAATATTCAGATAGAGGTAGCACCAAATTCATAACTTCACATTTATTTTTATTCAATCTGAAGCTGAAGAAGATATTGAAGTTTTTAAAAGTA